GTGGACTCAAATGCTCTTTGACTGGAGCCCAACACACAGTGAGGCTGATGAAAGACTCCTGAGCACTACAGAGGGTATTATTCCAGCAGTGTTGTTGCTTCCTGTGATCCCAGGGGAATGTCTGGCTGTTTCTCAGCCTTCCCTTCACATCTTGCATGTGTTTTGTATCTGGCTGTGTTACCAAAGCCTGTCCAGATGAGAGTCATTTGGATGTTGCTGCCTTGTCAAGTTGTCATGATGCTGGCAATGATGCCTGTGGCGTACCAGCATAGTGCTGGACTGGAGTCAGAGCTCCTAGACCGTGGTCATGGGGATGCGAGGAGTCTTAGTAAGTGCAGGACTTAAAAATACAGCATCCCCCGGGCTGAATTAACACCAGAAATTCCAGGGAAGGTAAACCTGGCGTGTGAGGCAGCTTCAGTTACAAAGGACCACCATCAGCCTAGCCTGGAGGCAGCCCAAGCACCCCATCTGGGCTTGTGTGCTGTGCCAAGGTGGTACCATGTTTACGGTGTGGTGGTGGGCTTTGTCTGCCTGTGCCAGGGGAGGAGGGAGGCAAGGCTGAGATGGGATGGGAACAGGGATGAGGGTTAACAAATTCTAGCAAGGCGGATTCACTTATGCAAGCAGAGAGCCCAGGACTGGAGGGTTATCCCTTTAGACTTCCCTGCTAGAAGAGCCACCCCGGAAAGGAGCCTTTTGGTGTCCTGAACTGGAAGGTAATCGCTTTGGCTCACCCTGTGGAGGAGCATCTCCCTTTGTGGAGGATATGGAGAATTTAGAGTCTGCCCTCCAGAAATGTTCATGCCACTTGAATCAGCCACCTGTCTCCATGGATTGAGCTGTGGCTCTTGGGCTTGTGGCCGCTGCCTCAGAGCCGAGGTTGCTGTGTGTTGCATTAACCCTTTGCAGCCTCGGAGAAATGTGTTGTCCGCACGCTGAAAGTGTTATTGGCTGACTGGTGCTCATTTCTGGGAAGTCTGAGGGATTCCTCATCTGTCAAACAGAGGTTTGGGGGAAAAGGGAGCCTCTCTGCTTGCGGGGAGTAGGAAGAGGAATTTCCTTGCGGTGGTTGAAGGACATGAAAGCAGAGCCAGGAATCCCCTGTGACTTCATTAGGCTGTATGGTTAGCTGGAGCTGGCTGGCTCTCAAGTATTTTCCAGTTGTCCACGGAGGGCACTTGGACAGCTTCCACCCAGCCCCACTCCCACATCCCCTCTGAAACGTCTACAGGGAAAAGACTCCTATTTTTGAGTTGCAGTGGAATTCCTGTGGCATTACACACTGTGTCCTTTGCAGTACCCAGAGAATTCAGTTTGATTCATGGTACTGCACAGGATACACGCTGACCTTGCTTTTCATTTGGGGGTGCCATCTTTTGCTCCTTGGTGGTCATGGCCACTTTGAGGCCCTGAGGCTTCCTGATATGATATGGCTGTCACTAAAAAGTGCCACTCTTGCTCCTCTTCTCCCACCTTAAACCCCGTCAGGCTTGTGTTACAGCTCGATTGTACATTCTGCTGCCCCACAGATCCTCTCCTCTCGCCCACCTCTGCACCAGCAGTGGTCCTGTTGTTGCTGCCAGAAATTCCTGCTGGAAAAGCAACAATAACTCTGCCTCCTCAGGGTATGTCAAGCCTTCTCCTTTGGCCAAGCCAGACCAAGGCCTGACTTACAGTCACGACTGGGCAGATGCTGCCTCCCCTATGGTTTAGGATAAAGGAAAAGCATGAGAAAAAGATGTGAGGGTTCTCCAGGGAGGTCTGGCATCATGGATGAGTGATGTTTTGACTGCTCAGAAAGGAAGCTTTGGGTCTTTAGACTTTAATACAGTAAGGTCTAGTGCAGTAAGAGTTTGCCATACAGAGCTGGAGTAATTTAATGACTTCTCCAGGAAGACCAAAGACAGGAAGCAATGGACACAACTTGTCTAAATGTGAGAAATTTGGATTAGACATTAGGATTTCCTTTTTAACTTGAGGATGGTTACTAGAAAAATTGCCCAGGGAGGTGGGGAAACCTCTGTCCTTGTAGCTGGGCCTGACCTTGAACAACCAGATCTAATTAGACCTGTTTGGAGATCCTCTCCACCTGCCAGTTGATTCTGATTACACTATTCTGTGGTGATACAGTCACTGAAGCTGCTGGACTTGATCTTCCTTTCTTTTTTTTGACAGCAAGAAGAGCCTCAACGCTGACACCGCCCCACACAAGTAAAGCAGGATGCAGTGTGGTGCTGAAGCCTGCCTTAGAGTCAGGTCATTGACTAGTGTCATTCATCTGGCAAACCTGATGTCCCTGTTTGATCTCTCTTCTATCCTCTGCCCTGTTCTTTGGGGGATTTTTGGGTTTTACTCCTCAGCTGGTGTCTGTACCTTCAGGTATCCTTCTGTCCTTCCTTGTGTTTCCATATTGGCTTACTGTCAATGCCATCTAATTTGGATTACTCTGGTCTTGTAGGCGTTGGAAAGCTATCTGGGGAGCAGAGGAGAGGTCTGTCACTTAGGCTGTTTGTGGAGACCAAAGGCTGCTCAGCCTTCACCCCAGGGAGCATCACAGAAGCGCTGGAGAAGAGGGAGAGCTTAACCTTTGGCAGGAAGCAAAAGGCTCAGACGCCAGTTGCGTGCTCCTTGTCTAACCTAAGGATGCCAGTGGGAAATGTGGATTGAGGGGAATTGGAGTTGCCCAGTCCAGAGGTGTTGTGGTCTCGCTCGTGTCTTTGGGGATGTCAGCAGGACATCTGTGCTTTCCATGCCATAGTGGGTGAGACTGGGGTCCTTTCCTCTCCTTGTCCGTCCAACTCATCTGAGCATCTCGGTGCTGGAACTGCTCCCTCTATCCCTGACACATCCCTCAACCATCCAAATCTCTCAATGGAGGAAACTACAGTTATTTATAATTAAAGCTTGACAAAAAATGCTGCTAATGTCAAGGGACCGGCAGGCGACAGCCAGAAAAACATCATGTCTCCACAAGAGGGGCAGCAGGAATATCCCTCTCAATAGGGCTGACGTCGGCTCCTGGAATTTGGACAGCCTGGAAGGGTTTGGGGCTATTTTTCCGAGATATCATAGGTCAGGAATTGATGTTATTTTTAAGTCTGTGTACCCCGAGCAGCTCTGATGAGTGAAGGAGACTTTCTCTCCCCCTCCCCGCTCCTTATGCTCTATTTCTACGAAATTTTTGCCTTTCTTTCTTCCGAGTCATGCCACAAATATGTCCTTCAGGTTTGTTTATTCTTCTCCCTATCTATTCCTCCCGGCCTGCTCCCGTCTTGGTTGGGTTGGAGGGATGGCGTCAGCGTGGCGCGTGTCTGGGATGCTCAGGCGAGACATCACAGGCAAGAGATCATGTTCTCCTAATTTGTCCTTTCCGGTTGGGAGAGTTTTCTCTCCGCAAGCTGATGTGGCTGGGGAAAGTGTTCTGGGAATGCTGCTTTGTGGTGGGAGATCTCGGGGCCTGGTGAAGACAAGCTGGTCATCTCATCTCGCCACACAGTCCAGCCAAGATTTTTCTGGAGTAACTGAAGTTTCAGAGCTGATGGGAAGGTGGGTGAGATGCCTCCAGCCCGGGATGGTCTTTTGGGGCTGACTGGTAGGGGAGAGGCAGTCAGCAGAGCCTGATTATCTGACACCTCCCAAGTCAGCAATGGCTTCTGAAAGTCTCTGCTATTTCAGGTCCAGGGAAGAGGCCCTTGGGTTTATCCAACTCTGTTCCACATGCCATCCTGCTCTAGTTTATTTCTGGAATCCTCTATTTTTTCAGCTTTTCCTCCTTCTCTTCAATTTGCTGTAGCAACCTCTCTCTCTCCAAACAAACCTGTTGGTGTAATAACTTGACTCGGGATCTTGCCATTTCAAACAGCGTATTTGCACATTTTGTTGGTTTTCTTTCTCAAGTCACATCTCAGATGAGAACACACCTTTTTCCCTTTAGTCCATGCTCATTTTTTTGTCCTTCCTTCCTTGCCCTGACAGACACCACTCTACAGAAGCTACTTGTTCAAACAGAGCTGCTGTGCCTTCATGGCGAGCCCAGTGTGAAGTACTGACCGTCCTCCCTTTGTAACCTCTCCACGCAGCTCAAAGATGCCAATTGCTCCTGGAAGCATGGGAATAAGTGAAATGCTTTCCACCACCTTAATGTTGCTGTTGGCCTAATGCTGCAGGTTTAGTCATTCTTATGACATATTTCCACAATGGTGCATTTCCATCATCATTCCACAGTGATGTATTTGAAGCCTTTCCATAAGTTGTTGTTTTTTTTTTTTCCCTGTCTAGAATCTCTTAAATTGATGGCTTCACAAACATTGGGGCAGGGTCTTCAGGTTTTGAATACTTAGAAACAAGTTGTAGGAATGGAGGGACAACGTCTGCTGCCTGTCCTAATCCTGTCTCAGCCTGTGAGGTTAATGGCACTGACGGTGGAAAAGGTAGTACTTGATTTATAGAATGTAAAATGATAGAATGTCCTGAGATGGAAGGGACTCACAAGGATCATTGAAGTCCATTTAAAAGCAGCACAGCCCAAGGGCCTATAATCCCACTGCTATTATTATGGGAGTTATTATTGTTGTTATTAGGTTAGATTCTCATTGTTTTTCATAGCTGAGAACATGAACTCTCTAAAGACCAACACTGGGACTGTTGGGGTACTGATGAATGTGATACAGACTTTTGATCTGCGCAGGAACAGCCACACAGAGGGAAGAATGAGTTTCCTGCTGGTGGCTATAATTAGCAAACGTCTTCAGAATTGCATGATTGCCTCCCACCCAAACCCCTCACTGGCAGAACTTGCTCCCTAGTAGTGCCATGGAATATCCTGTTGAAATGCTGAATTTTGCCACACTTTACCAAACACTGCTTGTTTTGGAGAGACAAGGATGGGGTCTCTGGGCCTGCTGCACCCTTTGTAGGATATCTCTGGGTGGCTCCTGCCATTCCTCTTTGCTCTGTTGGAGTCTGTGCTGACTGTCTGCTCTCCCTTGTCCTTGCAGGGCGTACATGAGCGTGAAGGAGCTGAAGGAGGCACTGCAGCTGAACAGCACCCACTTCCTCAATGTTTACTTCGCCAGCTCGGTGAGGGAAGAGTTGGCTGGTGCTGCCACTTGGCCGTGGGATAAAGAGGCCCTGAGTCACCTGGGTAAGTAAGTTATCCCACTCAAGGGGTCTCAGGATTGTTGGTTTTCCACTTGCTTCGTTGACTTGGCAAAGAGGTGTGTGTGATGTGGCTCAACACTGAGGATACTTAATAAGAAGGTCATAGTAAGAGGGTCTGAGTGTACCAATAGCTGCTGCTGTAAGGAAAGGAGCTGCTGTTCCATGTTCAGATGGATAAGGTGGTGAGATTATAGACTGAAAAGGTACTTCCAGGTTATGAGAAACTTCTAACAGTGAAGGCAGTGGGGCAGTGGGACAGAGACCACAGAAATGCAGGTTCACCATTAGTGCAGGCTCTGGAGAGAGCTTTACACTCGTATTTGGCTTCTCCGGGACCTTCCAGGTCTATCTTCTAGGATTCTGGAAACAGTGAAGTTGGCTGTGCAGCATGTAGTAAGGAACAGATAAACCAGGAGTGTGAGTGTTTTGAGAGCTGAGACTCCGGATTTGAGCGACTCCAGGCTGACCAGGCAGCCAGCACTGGCCACTTCTGAATCCAGCTGCAAGTGTGAGGATACCTATCAAATTTTACCATGCCCTTATAACTTGGCTCACCACCTGCTGGAGGCAAAGTTCTCCTTGGCTTCAGTGGATTCAAGGCAGACCCTTAAGGATTGATGAGTCCTTGTAGGCTGCAAAACAGCCAGAAAGACAACTGGTTCCCTAGAGTGTGGCTGTATTGTGTGTTTTCTGCTGTTTCTGCTGTTTCTTTTTCCTGCCTCTCCCTTCACCTCTTCAGTGTCGGAGTTTTCTGGCAAAGCCCTTTACACTTTGCAGTCAAAATGTCTGAAGTGTTTCTCAATAAGTAACTGGAAATAATTACTCCTGACACCTGCACAGCAGACCTAGACCTTCTGCTTTTACAAGTGCGTGATGTTCAACCCTTAAAAGTTTTACACTGCTGTTAAAGACCTGTTTTAAAGTTCCTTTTTGCCAGTTTCCCTCCCTCAATGAGTTTCAGGACTGTTTTTTCAATAGTGTATTGCTACAGCTGCTTGTTGAGGAAGGCAAATCTCCATGAAATTTATTCTTTTGGCTTCCAGAAATCACTTCCAAGGCTCAGCTTGACAATCATCTGACTGCAGCAAGTGCTTCAACCACACATGTTCCCTTCAGACCCCTCCCAACAGCTCACAAGGAGTTGTACAGAGGGGTAGTTGGGGTGACTGGTCTCATCAAAAGGTTGCATTTAGCTCCAGTCTCAGAGCTTGTGGCCAGCCAGGGACACGAGAGGTGGTACCATCTGGAAATGTTGGATCAGGGCTTTAGCGTGGAGGTTCAGGGGAAAAGGGGTGTTGTCTTGGCTCTGGTGCCAGAGCTGTGAAGTATGAAGCTGGATCTGACCTTCTTTGGGGCTCTGGCACTGACTGAAGACTTTGGTTCGAGGCAGTCCTTGGTTTTAGCTTTAATGAGCTCAGGAGGGCGGGTGGTGGACTCTGTTCTCCGTAAACAGTGAGCTCCACCACATCACCATGTGTTTTGTACCACGCACAATGTGTATTATTGTCCAGCAAAACAAAACTTAGGGCTGAGGAGGCCATGAATATGTGCCTGCTGACAAAACCCCTCACAAAAGGCTACTGGATAATCTGAGTAGATGTGAAAGCTCAGCGGTGAGGAGAGCAAGGAAAACTTTGGTAGGAGTGAATGGCAGTTTGAGAAACATTCCTGAACTTCAAGGGCCTAAATGTGGCCAGGGGTGGAGACAGATCTATACACAAGAGAGGGGTCTGTCTCCAAAAGGACATACTCCTTCCCTTGCACTGAATCTTGCTAATCTCCTGTCTGTCCTGACCTTAAACTATGAAGGTCAGCACACAAACCCTGCTTCCCCCTTGCCAAAGGCTGCTCCCATGCAGCAGAAATGCCACGCTGATTTTTCTCCTACACACATACAGACCCTTTCATGCTTTGGTTCCCTACATGAATAAGATTGTTCCTTGAGTTTGACTTGACTTCTCCAAGAAGACAAACTGCCTCTTGACTCCAGAGAGCTTTGGTCAGATTTTGCTCTCTTTGTTTCCCTGAACTGGACTTTATTAGATGTTTTCAGGAGGAGCTCCATGAGACTTTTTCCTCTCTAATTGCCTTCCCTTCATCTATTTTAACACTTTGCTTCAGGCCAAAGATCACTAAACTTACTGTTTCCAAACTGTTCTTCATCAATTCTTCTCAAGAAGTTGTTTAATATGCCATCTGGACTTTGACCTCCTTAGAAAATATTCTTTCATGACCTTTGAGTGTGTTTTTCAAGAGGGTCCTTCTCACCTTCTCACCTGTTGGTGTTCTCACCTTCAGTGAACTTTGTTTTTCATCCCCTCCTCTTCGTGATGCTCATCTGGGGCTACGAGCAGTTCTGTGCTGATGAGTTACAGTTCCGTTGCTCTCCTCCAGATTTTTTTCCCTGAGTGAATTTGATTTTCAGGCAGCCTTTCTCAAGGCTTAGGGTTGGTTTACCAATAATACAGCCAACAGCAGCTACTTTCATTGAAGCATAAAAGATAATTACTGACTTGGAGAGGGTGAAATGGTCTATGAAATTTCTATAGACAGTGGATTTCAGCTGCTGTGGAGCTCCTAGACAGAGACAACTTGCAGCCAGCCAGCAGGAGAGGTAGAAACTCTCAGGTCTATTTGCACCACTCCCTGTGACCATACCGTCTGTCTCAGTCTTTCCACCATAATCACAGTGACTTCCTCTCAAATTCAGAGTTCTTGGAGTCTGGAGTGAGTTTTCTGAGAACTTAGGAGTAAATCTTTTTTAACTACAAAACAGAAGAAATCAAAGAGCTCCCTTTAAAACACCCTGAGCTTTCCGTGGTGGAAAGCCTTGTTCAGAAGCCCCAGCAGCGTAATAATGCAGATGCTTTCGACTTCATGTGTAGCTGCATGTGAACTGCACAAACATGGTCGAAGGGCAGGGGAACTGTGAACAGTTGATGTTATAAATACTTTCTGCAGTTATATAAGCTGGGGCCAGCTCATATATCTGGCAGAGGCCGGTGGATCCTGAAGGAGGGCCAGCCCTTCCATCAAAGGTACCTCAGGCAATGGCCATCTTCCTGTCTGACTAACTGTCATGCGCTCCTTCCATCAGTGGCTGTGACTCAGTGTTTGGGGAACACTGGCCCCGCCACGCAGGTTCAGCTTTGTGGTTTGCTGTTTAAAGGTCCCGTGGTTGCTTAAGAATGTCCTCTGGGACAGCCCGGACATGGGAACAGGTTGGCTTCTTGGGGGCTGGCGTGGACCAGAGTCCTTCGGCATTGCCACTGATCGTGGCTGGAAGCAGAGTCTGCCCTGGGAGTGTGACCCTCCAGGGATGTGTGAGGAGAAGTGGGGTCCACACCAGTGCTAATCATTCACTGGACTGGGTGTCTTTTGTTCCTTGATCAGAGTGGGGGCTTGGCCTTGGGGATGTTACCGGCTCTGCAGCTGGAGATCTGGTCTGGAGGAACAAGGTGTTGTGAGGTCAGAACTGAAGTTTTCCAGCTGTCTGGACTTGTTTGGGTGAGCAAGTCCAAAGAAGTCTCTGGTTCACTTGCCTTGCAGTGCTGGACCCCCTTGATATCATAGGGATATTGAGGATTTTAGCCTTTTTGTGTAAATGCTGACCTTGGGAACCTCCTCGAGCTGGTTCTCAGGCACTTAAAGCCCAATTTAGCCCATCTCCCAGGGCAGGAGGAGGCAGAGGTGAGAAGGAATGCCTGATCTCCCGAGGAGAGAGAGAGAGGGGAGGCTCGTCCTGTCGGGATGTTATGAACTCTTCCACATCTTGCCTTCACAGCCAGGATCCTGCAGAGGGGAAATAGAACTTCCTGGTCCAAAGCTGGGAGCTCTCCCAACTCATCAGGGAGCTGTGGGGACAGGGAATGAAGGGATAGGGATATTCTGGAAGGCAGGCAGGGTTCTCATGCTGTTTCTAATCCTGCCATTTAATTAGCTGTTAAAAAAAGTACTAAAAATATGAACATCCTTGTGGAGTGTGGGGGAGGAATGGGACAGGGGAAACCAGCAGAGAGGAGGGGAGGGACAGGGTATCCCAACCTTGGCATCCCTCCCCTGTGAGAGTTTTCTCCCTCCCTGTACCGGAATCCCATTTATTCCACGCCTGGGAAGAGTGTTGGGTTTCTGCTGGGAGGAGGCTGCTTGGTCACAAGGCCCCCCATGCCCTGGTGCTCAGCCCCTTTCCCTGTGGTTAGAGCTGCAGGATGTGTGCAGGGCTTTCACATCCCATTTACTTGTTTATGAACACTATTTTCTTTCTGTGAGCACATTCCTCCTTCCAGACCTTTGGGCAGGCAGCCCCCTGCCTTGCTCAGGCTTGGGTTTGGCTGCAGAGATGCCTTTTCTTTCTGTTCTCTCTTCTCTCATGCCCTGGTTTGATTCAAATGAGAAGCAGCTTTTTTTTAATTTTTTTTTTAATGTGCCTGCTGGGCTCTCCATCAGTGGGATGCCCTTTGCTATCTATAGCCTTTACCAGGGTGGTAATTTTGGGGGGAATGGCTTCCAAAACCTCATAGTTGACAGGCTGGAACAGGAAGGTCCCAAAAGGATTTTTCCACCTCTCTACCTTCTTGTGGCCCATCTCCAGGCAGCTAAAGGGTCAAGAGCTGACTGATGGGATGCAAAGTCCTTTGCTCTGTTGTCTTACAACCAGGGAGAAAGGGAATGCAGCTACTTTGTGACCCATCCTTTGCCTCGAGCCCTGGGCAGAAGATCCTCACTGTGGGAAGGAAGAGCAATAAACATGAATTTTGAGCTAAGAAGTGGTGCCTCTTGACAGGTCAGTGGTGTCTCTCAGCCCTGCCATGGGCCACACACGCAGGATGCTCCACTGAAGATGCCACTCTTATTTCTTCACCCTCTCACAACCCTGCTGCGAGGGCTCGAGAGAACTGCTGATGGGCGTCTCTGAAGGTCCCTTTCCAGCCCCAAATGCAGTGTTCACCCAGCATGGCTCCTCTAGAGGAGTCACAGACCCGCTGGTGTCCTGCCAGGGACACAGTGCTCCGAAGAAAACCCTCTCTGGGAAGGAATGCCCTGTACTCGAGGACGTGAGGTATTCCGGTAGCGCACGGAGCTGATTTCAGGCAGTCTCTGTGGCTGGAGATGATCACACCGTGGCCCCCTGCCAGCTCTAGCTTTGCTGGCAGGGGCAGTGATCATCAGCAGAGATGCAGTGGCAGAGGCTCTGCTGTGAGGTAGCTGGCACAGTAAATCCCCCAGGGCCCTGCAAAGGGGGAGCAAGCTGTGCCAGAGCCAGCTATTTGCCACGCTGCCATCCAAGCTGTCTGGGTTAAAAGTGGTTGTGTAAAAACAGTCTCCCAAGCCACGGAGGTGTTGCCTGGAGTCAGCCTGGGCACATGCTGGGGTCTGCTTTTAGCCCACTTGTCTTGCTGATACTCCCCAGCCCTTGCTCCTCTGCTGTAAGGCAGCATGGAAGAGTGGATGGAGCATGAGAATGAGAGGAGAAAAGGGGAGAGTGAAAAGCCTCAAAGCAGGGAGAAAAATGCAGAGATTTCAAAGACATTTTAATCTGGACAAAAGAAAGGAGGCAAATAAAAGGAGGCCAGAGAAGTAAATGTTTTTGTTCTTGAGCATCTTCTGTGGACAGTTACCCGGCAGATGTAGCACAGAGGTGTCAGTGCAGGGTGTGCATGCCATATCAGGAGCTGGAGAGGCTGGCAGTGAGCAAAGGGAAGGCTCTGCTCCTAATGGCTTTCATCAGCATCCTTGATCCTTGCTCTTCCCATCAGACAGGCCGGCAGGAGAGGAAAAGCAACTTGTCCTGCAGCCATGGGGAGATTTAGGACGGTATCGTCATGGGTCCTGCTCAACTCTGTGCTGTTGCTGTCACTTTGAGGTGGAAGTGCTGGGCAGTTTCTGGGGGACTTCATCTGTGCCCATGGCCCAATATCTTTGACAGCTGAACCTGCATCAGGCTGGCTTGGAGAAGAACTGCCCCTTTGTGCCCCCAGGAGTCAGAGGCTGGGGTGCCCCAGTGAAGAGGAGTAGGTTTTTGAGGGGTGGAGGGATCCTACCTGGTTCATTGGGTCTACCTTGCCACACTCAGATCCCTCTGAAGGGGATGGTGGGATTTTCAGAAGCTGCGCTTTGGGAAATCCCGCTCTGAAATACGCTATGTTTGTGTCAGGTTGGTGGTAGAAGCTTAGTGGATTGCAACAGAAGCTCATGAGAGATTAAATTTACTCCTCAGGATCTGGTTTGGAGGTTGAAGCAATAGATCATGGATGATTTCTCAGCCTGAGCCAGAGGCAGTTCATTGGAATCTCCATATGGACTTGTGCTGAAAGTGGCTTCCAGTTGGCACAGCCAAGTGTGTCAGGACTTCGGCGCCTCGTTGTTCTCACTTGCCAAGGGCGCTGGCATGCCAAAGCCACCTGTCTAGGCTAGGGAAGGACTTCTGGCCTCTGATTCAAAAGATGATCCCCTTAAAGTTGCATCATAGCTTGTTTTGATGACCTGGCTCCAAAACTCATTTGGAGGTGTAAGTGGGATCCAAAGCAGACACAGAATTATAAATACGCAAAAAGACACAGAGGGAAACGGTAGCTGGAACGATTGAAGGTATTGAGGGGGGAATAATGTGGTCAGAAGGGGAAGAAAAACTACCTACCCAGCTCTAAGAGGGCAAATGAGCCTCATCCCATCCTACAGGAGGCTTAATATGACCATCTTCAGGTCTACATCTGGCACCTTGTCTGTGACCTGGACGCATGATGAGAGGAGTTTTGCCTCTCAGGGGTGAGTAATGGCAGCTGCCTGCTGTCTCTTTCTTGGGATGATGGTCTCTGTACTTGCAATTCCAGGTGGAGTTGTCCTCAACCCTGCCTACTACGGCATGCACGGCCACACCAACACCATGATCCACGAGGTGGGGCACGTCCTGGGGCTGTACCACGTCTTTAAGGGAGTGAGCGAGCGGGAATCTTGCGATGATCCCTGCAGGGAGACAACTCCGTCCATGGAGACGGGAGACCTCTGTGCTGACACTGCCCCCACCCCAAAGAGTAAACTGTGCCGGGATCCAGACCCTGCCAACGACACCTGCGGCCAGACACACTTCACAGGGACACCCTTCAACAACTACATGAGTTACACAGGTAACGAGGAATCGTCGTGAGGGTTGTGGGGGGTCACCTGCCTTCAAACTTGGGTTTCCCTCCCTTCCACCTCCATCAGTAGTTCCTTTCCCCAACCTGTGTGGCCCCTCCGGTGTACTGGGATGTGGCACCTCCCTGGTGCACTGGGATGTGGCAGGCAGTGCTTGCAGTGGCTTCTTAACCCCTTTCTTGCTTTAGGCTATTTCCATCTGTCCCTCCCTACCAGTGGGTCATTGGCCTTTGCATCGAGGCTGTTCTTGTCTGTGGTGGTGTGCCTTTATTCTCCAGTCCTGAAGCAGCTGCTACTACTATTATTATTATTATCCTTCTGAACCCCTGTGGCTTGGTTCGCAAGGGCAAGCGGCAGAGCGCCGCTGTTCCCCTGTCGTGGCAGGAGGACCACAGCCTGAGGAGCAGTTCCGTGGCCCTTCCCAGGTGCCGGAGCCGGCCGAGCTGGTGCTGGGCAGGTGCAGGGATGTGGAGCTGCTGAGGCAGTGCCATCTTGTGGCTTTGGGGACACACGACACCGGAGAGACACCGCGCTGGTGCCTCCCGGCTCTCCCTGGAAGTCCCCCGAACAGTTTGGCCGTGAAGAGGGTGCATCTTGCCGCGTCCCACTGGCCGATCCCCACCACCCTCAGCCTGGGCTGTCTTTCCCACCCAGATGATGACTGCACCAACTCCTTCACCCCCAACCAAGTGGCCCGGATGCACTGCTACCTGGACCTGGTGTACCAGCGCTGGGGACACGGCAAGAAGCCGGCGCCCATCCCGATCCCTCCCATGGTGACGGGGCAGACGCAGGACTCCCTCAGCATCTACTGGCTGCCTCCCATCAGTGGTGTCATCCACGAGAGGTGAGGGATCTGCTGTCACAGTGGTCTTGGGATCGCACAGGAGCCTGCTGGGAGGGACAAGGGACACTGGTGTGGACCCCCCATCCCTTTCTCCCTCGGTCGTCTCCAGCAGAGCCCACAGACACAGGAGCCAGGCTGCTGCCGTGGCCCCGCTGGCAGATGGGCTCTCCCGCAAGCTTTCCGCTGTCGGGGTGCCGGGGAGGGGAAGCCAAAGAGCATCGGGAGGCAAAGCCAGCTCTTAAACCCCAGAGTGCAATCGGGGAATGAAAAATGAGCTTCATTTAGCACTTATTGTATGAAGTAGCTATTTACCGGGAGGAAATGCAGCCCTGTGGTTAAGGCAGGGAGCTCGAACCGCAAGAGCTGGGTTTCGTTCCCAGCGCTGTCACGGACCAGCAGTGCAGCGGACTGGGGGTAAGGCAGGAAACTTCTCAAACCAGAGAAACGGTGCCAAGGAAAGTTGTTTGGCCGCTGAGCAGTGCGTGGCCACGAGTGTTGGGTGGCTGGCTGTCTTCTCCCCAACGTCCGGGAGCCACCAAGACCTGCACACACCACCAGTGCCTCCCTTCAGCAGCCCCTCTTACTAAAACATTTTGGTTTTCACCAGGCTTTAGGTGGTGAGACCATTGTTTTTTTTTCCTTGTAGGACCATTAGCACATACTAAAGAGCTCTTGAATTTGTTTTGGAGCTGTTTCACAAAGCTGTCTCTTGTAATTAAAAGGCAAGTGCTGTTTGATGGCAGCTGGGACACTCCTGGGTCAGTGTTTGGTGCCTTTTCAAAGAGCTGATGCTCTCCACAATGGGCCTTTTGCTCAGGGATAACAAGGGCACATGCATATCACCCCAGGCATGAGAGGCTCTGAGTGCTGGGTGGCCTCTAGTGATCCAAACAAATTGCTTTGGTGGAGAATTAAGTGATTTGGAAGCAGGAAAACATAGCTCTAGAAGGGAGGCACTGGGTCCTTCCAACCATCCCGAGTTCTCATTTATAACTGGTTCAACAGCTGATCTGTGGTGGGGGTTCTGCATCCTCTGAGATGAACTGGAAAGAGGCTGAGGCTGACCCTCATCACAGAAAAAATGCTTTTTTCTTTCCTGGAGAGCACAGTGGGACACCGTTTAATTGACATTATTGTGACTGATTTGTATTGCAGTAGTGCTGAAAGCCAAAACCCGGCTCTGGGTTTAGCAGAGACAGCCCCAAGAGCACCCACCCAACTCCAGAGGCACTGCCGGGGGAAGTGGGGTCTCTTAGTTCTGACTGGTGGGTGGGGGACAGGTTATTCATCCCGGGCTACACAGAGAGCACGGAGAAGAGGAGGGATTAAATCCAGCCTCCTATGGCCCCTGTCATTCCCCTATCTTTGAAGAAGCTTGTTGCAGGCCAGGATGATCTGCCCAGGGGTTTTCTGAGAGCTCAGCTTTGCTTTTCCAAGTTCCCGTCTGGTCCCACCTGGGCAAACGTGGATGGAAAATTGACTGGTGCTGTTTAGACGTGCCAACGTGTGCCTCCTGTCAGCAGGGAGCAGGACACGCTCTGTGACAGCTGTGCAGAGGATGGCACCTTCCGGCAGTACGTGCACGAGGCCTCCTCCCCTCGGGTCTGCGACTCCTCCGGCTACTGGACCCCAGAAGAGGCAGAAGGTAATTTTTCTCCCCTCTTTTCCTCTCTGTGTATCCCCAGACAGAGATGAGATCTTGTTGGGACAAGAAATCGAATCTCTTTTTGTTTCAGAGAATCAGTTGTCTTCCCTCTGTGGGAGCTCTGTAGTGCAGGAAGGACATGTTGGTGCCCAGAAGATGCCTGGTAATGGCCAGCTGGCTTTGGACAAACCAATATCAACCCAAATCACTGTTCAGACAGGTGTTCTTGAGAGATACTGGCCAAAGGGAGGGGCATTTCACTGAAATAAGTCGCAAAACATAGATCTTGGGACCTCCTTAAAAACCTCAGGGGCTTTCATGCAGCCTTGTCCAAAGAGAGCAAGAGGAGCTCTGTGCTGACCCCACTGAGTCTGTGCTGAGCCCTGGGCAGTCTGGGTTGGATGTTATTCCTCCCTGGCAAGGTGAGCAGCAGCAGGGTGTTACAACTTGTGCTGAGATCCAGCTGTTGGTTTAGAGACCCACCTTGTGGGCATGGTGGTGGCTTTCAAGGTCACACAGCTGTCATAGGAGCTGTTGGGCTTTTCATGCTGCCTGAACTCCTCCAAGAGCAAGGCAGAGGAGGCAGGAGACCAGGTTGAAATGATCTCGTGGGCTGTGTGTGCTGCTGTTGCTCCCCTGGCTCCACATGCTTCTGGTCGTTCTGTGCATCTCCACATATGTGTGTGTGTGTGTTTGTTCTGGTGAAAAAGAGAGGTTTTATGGTTTCTTAGAAACTTTTAGACTTGTATTAAATAGATGCAGGCTTTGAATTGGTGATGGGCCCTAAGAAATGCTTCCAATGGTTAATGAAGACCAGGATATTTTTACTACAGGAGAATAAAATCTAGTGATGCTTTCTGAGTCTGAAAGCCCAACAGTATATTTTGTTTGCTGAGTGCTAATTCACCATCAGGGGAGGCAGGCCCAGGTCAACCTGGGCACTGTCCTGGAGTTTTTGGTGGGAGAACAGCCTTCCAGAGCTGCTTCCCTGCTTTGGACCTGGTCTGTCCCTGTCTGTGACTTGTTTCCAGCACGTGCCTGTGGAAAGTTTCAGTCTCTGCTCTGCCTGGAGCATTCAGGTGCTGCCCTTGGCAAGCTTTCTGCACCCATGAGACTACAGAGCAAGAAGCTTCATGTCCCCCAGCTGTGTCCAGGCTGTCCCTAGAGCCTGACACTGCATCCAGCTGCAGTGTGGATATTGCTGTCCCAGTTTGAGAGGGCTGTGAGACACCAGGTGCACCAAGCCTTATGCTTGTAAGCATGTACCCAGGAGCTGGGACACCAGTGGTGCTTATTGCTTTCCAGGACGTTAAGGCAGATGCCACCAGCTCTGGGACATAGTGGGTGCATAACCACGTGGGTGTGAAGGGATGTGTAAGCACCTACAGAGAGGATCGCCCCTCTGTGTCCCTGTGAGCTCAGCTGTCCCCTGGCTCTCACCAGCCTCCTCCTTGTCCCTTCTGCCCAGGCCCCCCGGACGTGGATCAGCCCTGTGGGCCCAGCCTGCAGGCCTGGAGTCCGGAGCTCCACCTGTCTGACATGAACATGACGGTGCCGTGTCCCCAGCCCGACGGCTGCATCCTGGAGCTGCGCTTCCTGCACCCCGTCTACCCCGACTCCCTCACCCTCTGGACCACGTACCTCTCCATGGGCTCTCCCAAGGCGCTGTCTGACATTGAGATCCTGACGGAGCAGGGGGAGTCCATCCACCTGGGCCCCCTGGACACCTTCTGCGACGTCCCCTTCACCGTGAAGCTCAACATCCCCAAAAAGGTGTCCGGAGTCAAAATCTACACCTTTGACGAGAGGATGGAGATCGACACGGCCCTGCTGACCTCCATGCCCCACAGCTCCCTCTGCTCCTCCTGCAGGCTGGTGCAGTACCGGCTCCTCCGGGACCCCCCGTTCGCGGGCGGCTCCCCTGCTGCCCCCGTGCAGGTGCATCGCCAGTTCATCGACACGTGAGTGATGGGGCTGCTCCACCCTGGGCTCAGGGCGTGTGGCTGGGACAGACTGGATGACCTCAGGTCCCACCTCTTTAAATCCCTGGATGGTTTTGCTTGTGTTCTGGGGTTTTTTTCACTAGCCCTGCTCAGTGCTATTGAGGAAGCGTGTTGCAGACCCACCATGGCCCCTGCCCATGAGCCCAGGCTAACTAGAAGCAGCTTGTTAAACCCAGAAACATTTTCCCCAACAATACAATCAGTAAAATTACATTTTCCCCATCAGTGCAACCAGTAAAATGACCTTTTCCACAACAATACAACCAATAAAGTGATTGCTCCAGATAATGTCACTTCTCCCCAGCTCAGACCCCCAGTAAACAAGCAGCAGACCCCTTTGCATGACCTGGAAGAGACCCTTTTCCCAGAGTCTCTGCCTCTGGCAGAGTAGGAATACACATGTCCTACTGTGATGCTGCGTGATATCTACGTGATACCTACGGTTGTGGTGAGCAAATCCGCTGCAGATGTTGCTGTTCCCTCAAACTGTCTCTCTTCCTGCAGGGAAGTCACACCTGGGCACGTGTACCGCTACCAGGTGCAGGTAGTCTCTGGGACAACCTCAGGAGAAGCCTCCCCACCGCTCGTCCATGTCCACGGAGCACCCTACTGTGGGGATGGGAAGGTGACCATGTAAGTCAGGCTCTCAGTGGAGGTTCTTCAAAGCTGCTGGGTTGTCCTGCCCCAGAGGGAGGCAGCGGGTTGGTCCTCCACCCGTGGGTCCTTGGCTGAAGGTGCTGCACGGGATTCCTGCAGCAGACTGGGCTGTAGAGCTTGTGTTTTGTAAAATGCTGGGTGCACAGGGAATGGTCTTCTTGAGGGCAGCGTCTGGATGAGGGGTCCAACCTGAACATCCTCTGTGCTTCGCTGCAGTGCTTGGATGTTGCACTGTCACAGAGGATCTACCTTTGGAACTGGGCAGTATAACTTTCTGCACAGGGTGATGGCCCTGCAGAAGTAGGTTCTGCAATAAGCACAGTCCTATGCACTGTGGTGTCTTTAGAGAGCTGTCTGCTCACTGCTCAGAGAGCCCAGATGATGAGAGATGCACCATTTCTACATTGAGAGACCCCAGTCCTCTGCCTGGGGGTTAATTATGCCAAATTTCCATATTTAGCTTTTTCAGACTTCAATTTCCAGGTTATTGAGAATCACTTTCCTTTGAAAACAGTTTTCTTAGCAGTGCGAGAAAAGGGAGAGGAACCTTCTCTCCTTTCTCCTGCCTCTCCTTCTTCAGCTCCCACTGAAACACCAGTTCTGTCTCAGAACCTCCCACCCTCTCCAACACTTGCTTTTTCCAGCAAGAAGCCTTCCTGATGCTTGGTTCTGTAACTATTCCATTCTCCCATAGTTCTTGCCTCAAGTGTTATAGGAAAGTCACTGCATCATCATGCCTTCTCCCATATGCTGTGATTCAACCTCTCTTTATCACCTGGCAAGATGTTTTCTTTTTTCTACCTTATTCCACATGTGGTTCTTCCTCTTCTCCCTGCTCCTGCAGAATTGGAACCATTATATGGGGTCCTCGCTCATGACTAGGCAGAAGCACAAGAGTGTTGGGTCAAAGGGGATATGTAATACATCTGTTGTCCCCTTAGGAGCCTGAAGGAGGAATGTGATGATGGGGACTTGCTGGATGGAGATGGCTGTTCCAGGAAGTGTAAAAAGGAAAAAGGCTTCAACTGTGTTGGTGAGTCCAAGTGGATTGAGACAGAGATCCAAATGGATTGACTCCTTTTGAGGCAGGAGTCAATAGCCTGTACATTAGTCACACTGCTTCTTAGAGCAGAGGGGGATGCACCTCATCTCAACAAAGCCTGGGTTTGCAGTTGGACTGATCCACGGATCTTGTCAGGCCCTCGTGGTGGGAAAACTCCAGGCTAAACAGCCAACAAAACTCCTGTAACAGGAGGAGGTGTGTGTGCCTAGAGCCTGCTTTGTGAGCAGCTCACCCCTGTTCTTCCTGCAGGGGAACCAAGCCTGTGCTACGTGCATGATGGGGACGGGGTGTGCGAGCCTTTCGAGAGGACAAGCAGCATCCTGGACTGTGGTCCCTACACTCCTGATGGATACGTGGATCTGTGGGCAGTGAGAGCCTATGCCTCCCACCAGGATGGGAAGTCCTGCCCTGCTTCCTTGGTCACTGGAGAACCTGTTGTGAAGGTGAGTGAAGGCATGGTCAAAAAAGTGTGTTCTAGCAAAGCCCATGCTGAGGAAGTCACTGCTGCAAGAGCACAAACAAAGCAGCCCTGGAAGCTTTAATTAACAACAATATTCCCACACAGGGAGCCAGTGGAAGACCTGGGCACTTCTCACACCCCTCTTTCATCAGTCTCTAAGCCCAGGAACTGCAGTTCATGGAGGGGTGTTTCATCCAAGGCAGGGAGCACCTCCCCTGTAACCACCCCCATCCCACCAGCCAAGTGCACAACTTGGAGCATGTGACTTGTCCCACTGGTGGCTTTAAAAAAACCCTTGTAAGTCTGATACCTTATAAGGTCAGGGCCCGACAGGGTGAAATCACGCACACATCAGCATCTGTACCGCTCTCAGAGCCCTCTGATCTGAAGCCAAGGAAAAATCAATGGGAGAGTTCCCATCTTTCATATGGGCTTTGGAGCAGAGCCTGGAGGGGATTTCGCCTGATTGGCGTTAACGTGGTGTGTAATGTTCTTTCCTAGCAAGCTGAAGAAGGGCAAGAAATATGTAAAGGGGATCATATTTAGTCCTTGATGCGTGTGTTTCTCCTGACTTGATGTAAGGAACAGTGTTGAGAACCTGCAGCGTGATTAAGTTGCCCACATGTACGAGTCTAATGAGATGCTTTGGGCTCCAGTGTCTGCTCCTCTACAGTGACACGTGTATCTCCAAGGTTTTGTCTGCCAGGCCTATGGGAATGTCTGGAATACCCTGGTATTCAGGCAAATGAATCACACCATTGTATCTCATGAGCACAGCCAAAATCAGGATGTCCTGAACTGGTCCTACCTACCAGTTCACAGCTTGGCTCATTATTTCTTACCCTGTCCCATAGACACCGTGAGGTGCTCAAACAGGGTATTTACAGCACTCCAAAATGGCATATGCCTCCTGTGCAGATGTGTGGGCAGTGAGGTGTCCCTTTGGAAATGACATCCTAAGTCTCTTCATGCTGGAAACCACCTTGGGATCCTTCTCAATGGTTGTTGAGTCTTCCTTGGGGTTTTGTAGGTGCTTTTTCTCTCTCACTTTCCTTGCAACTTTCTGAGTTGAGTTAAATCTCTTGTTTCAGGTATGTAAACCCCACCTTCACGATGTGCCAAAGGACCTTTTACAGGCTGCTTGGTTCCCCTGTGCTCACAGCCAAGAGAATGCTCAGGACCCAGATGAGGAGAAGATGCCCTTGCATGATGAGGGAGTTTGGCTCAAGGTAAGTGAGGATGTGTGGTCAGGCACAGAGGATTTTTTTGTCTTTATCCAGCACTTTGGTGACAAACCCCATCCTTTTCTGTCCTGTAGGAGCTACAGCAACCTTAAAAAATACTTGAGTAGGCCTCTCTGCAAAAACCAACTGCCTGTGTGTGGGTTTTTTCTATTTGCCTCATTCTCAGTGTGAACAGCAGACCCATCTTGGGGCAGATTGCCAGGAGAAGGACAGTGCATGAAACCAAAATCCCACAGAAATGCCTTGAGGCTGAGAAACAACTTGCTCCTGTCCCTCCCCTGCATTCAAGCAGTGCTTGAACACCTGCAAAGGGAAGGCACAAGCTGTGTTTAAAGTCCTTGTTGCCTTTGTCCCCCGTGGCTGTGAAGAGCAGCAGAGGGTATCCAAATATACTGTGTCATCCTGAGGGGTCCTGAGCACCACAGCAATCAGCTGTGGCACACAGGTCCTTCGGATAACTCCAGACCAAAGCTGGCACTTCTGTGCCCCAAGGTGCTGGTCCTGCAGCCCAACAGGGGCTCAGGGGCTGCCTGGGGAGCTGGGGGCAGCCTTTGGGAGGATCAGACCCAACAAGCAAAGGAGCAGGACGGAGGAGAGCTGAGGGTTAGGCCAACAGCACTTTTACAGCGTTGGGTTTCTGACCACAGGCACAGCTTAGAGGTTTTGTGGCTGCTGCCTGGTGTTTCTGGAAAGCCAGGCTCTGGCATGCTGCTCCCTCTGCAGTCTGAGACACATCTTGCCCTGCTTTGTTCGAGGTTCTCTAGAGAGGACTCTTCCCAAAACTCTCAGATGACTTGGCGGATCATCAGACCTGAGTCAGTAAACGGGTATCACTCTGAGGTCCTCTGTCTCTCAAAAAAACCTTCCTTTAACCTTTTTTTTTTTACTTTTCCCACTCTTCCTTGTCTGTGTGTTCACAACCCACCTTCTGGCTTCGGTGTCTGGCCATGACAAATGTGCCTCCTTTCTTCCTTTGGCTAGTGAGAAAGAAGCAATCCTCCCCCTCTGCCCTACCTAGATGAAAGCTTGCTTTCCACTTCTCACCAGGGGTTAAAGCGTGTTCCAGTTTTATTGGAGCTTGTGGTCAGTTCTCTTCCTCTATGGATGTTTATATTAAAGACTTTCATTACTGGTTCTCTGTGCTCTCTCTAGGAGTGCTATTATTTTCCGCCCATAAAATTATTTATGGACTAGTAATAAATATGCCCTTTTTCTCTCTCTCTTTTTTTTTTTTTTTTTTTTTTTTAATAGAGTTGGCCTGATTGGTAACATATTGGGTTGGGAAAGACAGCTTTTTTTGTTGACAATTTGCCTAGCCCAGCTGCCTGCCCGGGCAGGAATGGTGCTGTTGTTGCACATGTGTACCCACGTGCACGTGGTGTTTTGTGGCCACTGACTCCCATGGCCATTTTAAAGCTGTTGCACCTGTGTCACCCAGGTCAGAGCTGCACCACAAAACTCACTGGATGGCAGGAATTGCTTCCTGCAGTGTTTCTCAAGAGGTGGCACCAATGAGCAAGGGAAAGGCTGGGTCCAAGAATCACAGAATGGTTTGGGTGGGAAGGGAACTTAAAGGCCCTCTAGTTCAGACCCACCTTCCACTAGACCAAGGTGCTCAGAGCCCCGTCTAGCCTGACCCTGAATGTTTCCAGGCATCCACAGCTGCTCTGGGCAACCTGTGCCAGTGTTTTGCCATGCCTGCTGCCATGCTGGGAGCAAGAGATTTGTGTGTCTGTGCCACCTAACAAAGCGTCTGCCAGGCCCTGTGGGTTTGTCTGCAGATGGGAATTGTTGTGATTTGCAGATATCCAGCCATGCTTTGTTCTCAGTTTTTAATACATCTGATGAGGAGAGACATCAAAATCCCTTGTAAGCAAGTCAGGATGTGTAACGTGCAGGAAATTAAACAGAAAGGGGGAGAGGGAGGGAGGAAAATTAAGGAGATAGCCTGCTGTGGCCAAGCACATAATAGGTATTGAAAAGGATTGGGATGATAATCAAGTCAGCTACTGTTGGTCTAACCTGGGGCCAGTATCCTTCACCCTCATGTAGATGCACTGTAGGAAGGGAAAGACTAAACTCTCCACCTTAAGCTGTGTAGTCCAGGGAAAGCCTCACCTGACCTCTCCAACCATCTCTCCTCCCCTGAGGAACCACACTGGGAGGAGGAGGTGGTTGGGTTAAAACTGGGCTGGCTCCTTGGGACTTTCCAGCCGTAGCTCTGTCCTGGGGTGCTCCTTGGAGCTGGTTGTGAGCACTACTGGCTCTTCCTGCTTTCCTGTTTCTTTTCCTTCCTCCCTCTGCTTGTCTCACCAAGGGAGACAGTGGGAATGTACCAAATGAAGATGTTTGAGCCCTCTGGTCCGCTCCGTGCAGCCAGGCCAGGTCTGCAGGAGAGTAAACCCTGGCTCAGGGAGCAAGTACACAGCAGGGGGACTCACTCATGGGGCGTTTGCTGCTGAGCACCTCCTGGCAGGGTGGGACCCCTGGGCTGAAGCCCAAGGCTTTCTCCTGCTCCCGTGAGTGAACAATGCCTGACGTGGCACAAACACCCCCCAAGGCTGGGCTGCCACCACAAACCCGCGTGGTTGTCCCCTCCGCTCCCACAACCGGCTCCTTGGGCTGTGCCCGGCCAGCCGGGACTTGTCCTCTTCCCAAATACACCTTGGCCTTGGATTGCTGAGCTTCCTCCATGCCAGTGCTCGACACAAACACTCTATCGGGTGGATCTTGATCAAAACACATCTCTGCACTGGGTGTGGGGGGGTACCAGGGTGGGGGAGGAAAACATTTCTGTCTTCTTACTCCCAAAGAACACCTGCCCTGCCATGATTGATGCCATGAGTCTCCCAGCTGCCTCCTGTAGCCTTCGGGGCTGCAGACAAGTGGCGAGTTGTCGGCTCTCCTCGCGGGCAGGGCTTCTTCCCACAGATCTTTCCGCGTGTTGGCTGACGGACAGTTTGCAGTCACTGTGGGTACCGGGGACATTCTTTGGGATTGTTTTGGGGCTTTGGGGTTTTTTTACTGGAGACATTTTGGAGGCAAGGCTGGTAGCTGTCTTCTCTGGGTGCCTCGCTTGCCTGGCCAGCACTGTGTGGGGTGGGAGTTGAAGCCTAGTGAAGAAAAGGCAGTAAAAGTGGTCACCCTGGGCTTGCTCAGTTTTAATAGCAGCAAATGTGGGTGCTGTGAAGATGCTGTAAATTTATGGCAAGGTGGGACTGATACATGTGGAGAAGACTAGTAAAAGGGAGAAGAGAAATTAGGAGGGAAAGGACCATGTTCCTGCTCCCTTCCTTCCTTTCTCTCTCTTCCCACCCATTTGCAACCCTGCACCTCTGCAGTCTCTGACCCCTTGCTCCTGGTCTCTCACCATGTTCCCTCTCTCTCTCTCTTGCACATGAGGGATTAGAAAAGCTGTGTTTGTGCCTGCTCTCAGGGTCTCTCCTGCCCTCCTTCCCAGGTTTGCTTTGAGAGACCTGCAGTGCCCACCTCCCTCCTGGTCTTCCTGGCCTCCTCCGGCACTGTCCCAAGCCAGCAGCACAAGCCGATGGTTGCTGTCCAGCTGATTGACACAGACGGAGGGAACCGCTCTCTGGGTGAGCAACCTGTGGGCTGTGACAGCAAGAGGGGCCACCTGGAGCCCCCACGACAGCTGTGATCTCTCACTGAGTTCGGTGCTGCCGTCCCCTGTCCCCACCTGTGGCGTTTTCTGCCTCCTGCACTGATCTGTTGGGATGTGGGGCGGGAGCACACAAGGTAAATCAAAAGCAAAGCCCTGGGGCTGAGCTGGTAGCTTCTTTCTTTGCCCATCTTGCAGGGATGTACGAGCTGTCGTGCCAGCACAACCCCCTCGTCATCAACGTGACCCAAGGCCAAGAGGACCCATCCCACCTGGTTGCTTCGGTGCTTCTCAACTTCTCCTCCCCTCTCGTGGGCATCGCAGCCGTGGCCTTGCGGACCCCAGCTCAGCCTGGCTCCTCTGGGCCCACCACCTGCCTCCTGCAGCACGAGGAGGGCTGTGGCCATCGGTGCTACAGGTATGGTCTCCTCAGGGCATGTCCCAGTGGGCACCCAGGGTTACCTCTCTCCTCTGGGGGTTTGTGCTTGAGTTCTGGGGGTTTTGTCTTCTCGTTGACTATTCTGTGATTGTTCTCAGGTGGCTTTTGAGGGTTTTTTTGAAGTTCTGATGTAATGAGTCTTGATTTGCTTATCTTTCTGGGGGGAAAGGCACAAAAACGGGTTGAAGCTCTCCTCCTCCTCTCTGTGCTCACGCCCGGCCTATCCCAGGCTCCTCGCCAAGTCTCGCGCTGTCCCCGTCATAACACGCCGATAACGCTAATAGTGGCAATCAGCACTTGAATTTATTGATTTATTATTGTGTCTGCCTTCATAAGGCATCAAGTGAGAGTCAGTGTTTGCGGAAGGGGCACCGTTCTCCTAGCGGGCTGTGCTGGTGAAAGGATGGGGAAGGACTGGTGTCCAAAATAGACTAAATAAACAAGGCAGTAGGATTGTGCCGAGCAGAGGCACAGACCCAAGGAGGAGCAAAGGGCTGGTGCTCAGCCTGTGTCCTAGAGGGGTGGCAGGGCTGACGACAGCCGGACCTGCCAAGTCTGGCTTTGCTTTCGGATCCCAGGCTCCCTGAAGTTACACGCGTGTGCTGATCCAGGGCTCCAGCTCAGCCAGTTACTCAGCCCGCGCCGCTGGGAATACTGAGCTTTGAGTCGAGCTTTGCTGGAGTTGTGGGGGTGTTAAGCAGGGAAGGGCTTTGACCAGGGTCATCGCATCACTGCTACTGTTGTATTTGTCGGGCTGACGGCCCTGGGTGGATGAACGTCCCTGATAACAAATCAGTGTGCGTGTGTTTGCCTAAAAGCCTGTGGGATTGTGGTACAATTGATTTATGTAGAGTTCTGGAAGCCCTGAATATCCTGAAGTTGCTTTTTACTTTCTCTCTTTTTTTTTCTTTTTTTTTCTTTACTATTTTTTCTTTTTTAAGTGCATGTGTGATTTATACAGAAACATAAATCTTAGTGAGTCAGCATGTAAATATTATTCTCAGCCTTACATTAAAGGATCAGCGTCCACCTGAAATGCAGTACGTTTCCTCCTGGTAGCTGTTACAGCTATGTACCCACATGCTTCTAAGACCCCAGCCAACTGATGTGGTTTTTCAATTACATTTTCTCATCCCTTAAAATAATTCTGCATTCTCGTTGCTGGAGAGCCTCCCCCTCCCCCTCAGAAGTGACTGCGAGGAGGAACAGACTGACTGGACACAGCTGAGCCTTGACTAGGGATGGGGAGATGCCCATATAGGGGCAAATAGAGGGGAAAATGGATGTTTTTTTTCTCTTAAAAGTCTCATTATATCTGAAGCACGAGCCAGTCCCCATATCAGCAAGGCACACCAAGCTGTCTGCTGTCCCCTCTGCATGGGCACAGCAGGATCCTCCTGTCCCCTCCTCCCTTCCCTGCCATCCCACGGGCTCCCCATGGCCTTGGCTTAGCAGCAGTACAGTGAATTGCAGGGTACACACATGCCCTGAGCAAATACTCAGAGTAAATCAGATTTGCAGAGTTTTCAGAGTAGGAAATGCTATTCATAGTATTGATTTTCTGGACTTAAAGGCTTAAATATCTAGAGAATTTAGGCTTGCAGCCTCCAATAGCCACACTAATAATAAGGGATTTTCCTCTGTTAAGTCAGGAAACATCCAACTATCCCCCCCTTATTATATTTTTAAAATCATTTCCAAAATAACATAGCAGTATTTTTTATTTTTAAGGGCTAACAATTCGTTTCATACAAAGCAGGAGGACTCCAGGAGAGAAAAAAAAAAAAAAAAATCCTCTATAAAAATCCAGGAATAGAAAACCTTCAGAGGCTGAGAGACATTCAACTGTAAAAGATCCCAGAAGATCCGTGTTCCTCCTGCACAGAGTTGAGCTGGCCGTTTGCACGCACCCAGCCTCACATCCACAGTACGTGCATGTGAGTGCTTTCCCAAAATAACCCGAGAAAGGGACAGTAACAAAAGCAAAGGAGGAATGAGGTTTCCTGACTTCAGCTTAGAAATGCTCGTTGCCAAAATAATAAATACACGACAGCTTGGCATTTCTGTAGCATCTCTCATCTTGAAGGGTCTCGCAGTGCTTTGCAGGCTGGGGAAAACATCGACATTGCATTTAGGCTGATGAAACGCAGCCCTCTCCAGGTCAGGGTGCAGCAGGCGTTTGGTGCTGGAAAAGTGCATCCTTGTTTTGAAGCAAGAGTTGCCTCCTGCTTTTGTAGCCACTCGAGGCTGGCAGAGAACTTGCAGACCAGAGCAGTGGTGTCTGCCCATCCCACCTCGCTGCTGTCACCAGGAACCCCTCTCTGCTCTCTCTGTCAGCAGGTCAGGAGTCATCTTTGCTTTCTGTACCCAACCTTAAAAAGTCAGGCAGAAATCAAACTTTTAACAAGTTTCCACCCAGAAGACTCAAACTCTCTCAAACTTTCATCTTTTTCTTTGCGTTTTCAAACTGAGCCACAGGCCCTCCTGTTTTCCTTGGTACAGGCTATACCCTGAACCAGGGGAACATATTTCATTTCCTCTGATATGCTTATTTTTAACTTGGCTTTATTTTTAGTGTGTTTTATTTTTTGTTAGCATATGCTGGGAAGTACCTGGGTGAGTTCACAGGAAAGGTGCTACAGGAGGTGATCTGTGTTTTTGTTTGTGTTTCCTGTGTAGTGCCACCCCCCCAAAGTGGGTGTAAGGTGTCAAGGGGAGTCTGGTTTGGATTCCTTTTGTATGGAAAGTGGATGTCAGGGAGAGAAAATCAGATGGAGGAGGGGGTTGTTTACTTATTGTCAATTTGTAAACTTTATTTAGCAAAGAGGGCTGTTTCCCAGACAGGTTTTTGTTTGGTTTGTTTTCTTTCTTCCAGGCACCAAGTTATGCAGGGTCAGTTTACAAACTGTGTCTGTGCCGTTGTGAAGATTTATGGAGACCCTGGGTAGAGATGCTGGTGTCTTATTTCGTAGAACTGTAAAATGGTTTGTGTTGGAAGGGACCTTAAAGAGCACGATTCTTTCCCTCTGACCTAGGGTGCCCCATGGATGGAGTAACCACCCCTGGAGGGATTTAAAAGATGTGTAAATATGGCACTTGGGGACATAGCTTTGTGGTGGCCTTGGCAGTGCTGGGTTAGTGGTTAGACTTGACCTTACAGGGCTTCTCCAACCTAAATGATTGCATGATTCTGGAGTCCTGATGATCTCCTTTCCTGGGGCATGGGATCACCTCAGCCTTTGCCTCTGCCGCTGGGACCTCTAAAGGTGCTTCTCTTCCAGAATCAAAGCCTGTTGATCTCTGGCACTTCTCTTGTGGGTCCCTGACTGGCTGATGGGCAGCAGTGGCCGAGGCTCTACTGTAGGGCTTGATCATTCACTTCAACTGGTGGCTTCAGTGTCCAGGTGGAAGGTGTCAGGGATAACCCTTGGAGGGACAGGGACCATTTTCATGGACCGCCCTACTCCATTTGCTCTCTACAGCCTATTCAGCTTATTGAGTTTAACTAGGAAAAAAATATCTCCCAACACAAACTTTTCATCAATTTGATCTTGAGTCAAATACAGGAGTTGTGAAATAGGGTACTTGGTGTCACCTCATGGAAAGGGTCACCCAGTCCAATAAACCTGTTCCAAGCAGGACCAACCCCTGATACATTGAGGGAAGGTGGATTACAACATGGAGCAGTTGTGTGAGGTGCAAGGCAGCTTTCCTTTCTGACCTTGGATCCTGGTGATACCCTGGAACTTGATCTTGATTCCTTATTCTCTTACCAGTATGAATATTATGTGAATCATGCAAAGCCCTCTGTCCTTCCCATGTCCCATGAAGAAAAAACAAGAACTGGGAGCTCCTGAGGTTTGCCTACAGAGCCCTTGGTGTACCGCTGCAGGCAGGCTCCCCTGTTCTGCCCTGCCTTTCCTAATGTCATACAGGCTCAGGGATTTTTCAGAGGAACTGGATTAAACTCATCCTTTGGAAGGTTCTCTTATCTCCTGTCACAAGCTGCAGGAGGTGATGAGTCCACCATTTCCCCTGCTGAGCTGTTCTCATACCCAGTAACCCTCTCTGCTGAGAAGGTGCCTCTGATTTCAAGATGAAAGTTGCTGCTTTCGCTCCATCCTTGTCAGAAGGGTCTCAATGCCTCCTGCCACAGATGACTTTTCTGTGTGTGTGTGTGTCTGTACAGAGCCATCAGATCATCTCACTATCTCCTCTCTGTCATGATAAATATTTTTTTGCTCCTTAAATCTTACAGCATAAGTCTTGCAGCTCAGCTATGGCTTCTGCTTGCAGCTCCGCTTTTGAAATCTTTCTACTGTTTCTATGTCTTTTATGGTGGTGGATGTGGATCAGAAGTGAGTTCCTCTGGGCAAGCTGAGAAAATGAGGTGCAGTGTGTTCCTGTGGGGATTGGATATGGATAAAGGTGTTCTTTAGGTACAGACTGTCCTGGACCAGGTTGGGAAGCTGACTAGACCAAACCTGACATCTCATTCAACCTCCCTTTCTGTTCTTCTATACATCTATTTTGGTGTAACAAACAATAACAAACAAACAAAAAAAGAAAGATGGAAAGGAACTCTCTAGAAATATATTAAGTTGGTTTACTCTTGGTTCTTTTTTTCCCCCTTTGTCACTGTGGCTGCAGAGGGGCCAGCAGGCCATTTGATGTGTCACTGATGCCTTTTCCCTGTCTCTGAGGCAGATGACAGTGGATGACTCACAGGGATGTTATTTTTTTGCCAAGTTTCTTTGGGAGTCACGTACAGAAGCAAACACCTTTTCTTGGGATGGCAACCTCAGTGCAGATCGTAATCAAGAAGCATCAGCCCCGTTGGGTCTGTACACGTAGCCTGCTCCCACAAGGGTGCTTGCCATCAGATTTACTGGAAAAGTGAGACCTTTCACCTCCACGGGAAACACGCCTGAAGGGAGACATTCCCAAGTATTTCCAAAACACCTTTCCTCATTTCCTAGCTATTCTCTTTTGCTAGACCACATTGGGGTAAACATCTTTTATCTCACTGATGTTGAGTGCTACGATCCAGGCTCCACCAGCGTACGTGCAGTGACGACTTTTAACTTCGGGAGATTTGGCTGAAGCCTTTACCTTTCTGTCGACATCTCCTATAACCCCCTCTACCCAAAAATTCGCACCATGAGAAGAACTTGAAAGTTTCCCCTGTTAAGAGTTGGAGCTTGATGATAAGGGATGTTTTAGGAGCAATCTCTGGGTCGAAAGCTTGGGTAGATGCTACAGCAGTGTACAGATGATTTATTACACTTCAAGCAGCTGTACTGCATTTGACTTGGCTTAGCTTGATGTGGGTAAATCTATCAGCATTTTCTGTGTTTTGTGAAATAACTGTTGTAAAATATGAAACTTCAGCTTTTCAGAGTTTGGGATTTGTCACAACAAAAGCAGTGTCTCCCTACCAGCCTTGCCACCACTGGCTCAACCTGCTCCATTTCTGCCAGTGGCTTTTATGCTAGAAGGATGAAGGATTCTGAAGAAAAGTTTTGCTCTAGTTTTGTGAATTGTTCTCGTTTGAGGACAAGGCTCTTACCATTTTGGAGCAGTTAGGGCCATCACTAGGCAGAATTTCACAGCCCTTCCAGATCTGAAACTTCCTTTGATGTATAAGTTATGGGACTTGGTGAGCCCAGAAAATCGTGCAGGCTTGTGCTGACATGGAATAAGTTAGAATAAAAATCTTGGTATTTTGTAAAAATGTTGTTGACAAATCATTAGTCTGAGCTTCAAAAAGATGCTAGGGTAGAAGTGGAAATTTTTTTGGATGTTTCAGGCAGAAAAAAAAAATAAAAAAAATATTGGCTCATCCCACATCTTATATGGCCTGAATCAGAAATGGGCAGGAGTCAGGAGTTTGCAGCTGCGATACAGGAATTTCATTTATCATCAAAAGCAGAAAGAGCTCCTTCATGCTGAGATCAGAACTGGGCTAACTGCACCATTTCCTTGTCCAGCCTTTGCTAGGGTGTTCCAGGGGCTGGGAGCCGCGAGTTATTCCATCGCTTTACCCGAGTCCTGGTAAAGCGTGTGGATCATGATGGGGCCAGGGCACAGGGCTTTTTTCTTTTTTTTTTTTTTTTGACCTGCACTTGTACACCACCAGGCTCAAGAGTGTCCTGGCCTGGAGTAAAGCAGTGACAGCAATGGTGATGCTGATAATGACAAAGGAAGTCACGAAATCATGGAGTGTGCTGAGTTGGAAAGGACCCACAAGTAATCAAGTCAAAGTTTGTAGGTAGAATTGATGTTTTTTTAAGCTTAGGGATATGTTTGAGACAATCAGACAGCTTTCAGTGATGTGAGCCCCTCTTTAGGTCTGGAATAGCAACACCAGACTTCAAAGCTACATGTAGGATGAGAACAGCGTCTCAGAACTTGAGCTGATTGCTCTCAGATCATTTCCAGAATAAAATCTAGTGGGTATTTGTGGGATTAGGGGTGTAGTTAATCACAGAGAAAACAGTGATAGATTAGTCATCTTCTGGGACAAAGAAAAAGGTAATTATTTCAACCAAAACCTTTCTATGATTTCTAAAATAGATCTGCATGCACATACAGAACCTGTGCATGAGTATGTAAGTGTGATAGATATAAAAAGAAATATTTTGATATTTTGATTTATGACCTGTAATTATCAGTCTCTTATGTATAACTACCCTATATAACACTTTGTATTTATAATATAGTAAGAAATTTACTGATCTCTCAGTCTACTGCCAGTTACTCTTCTGAGCTGGTGGAAAACCATGATGTGCCCAGGAGTGCTGAAAAGGATCAGTTCTTGGTTTATTGCTATTTAATAACAGCTTTGTCCCAACTGCTGAGGCTGCCCCAGATGATGTGCTGACCCTCCACCAGCATCAGCAGAACTGCTCCAACCAAGCTCTTGGCCTGGATGTGTCTGGAGGTTGCCACCACCCACCCTTGATCCAGTGCTGTGATGAGCACACGCTTCATAACTCAATTTTGTGACCATCAACCTTTACTGTGAGGGTGGGGTGGCCCTGGCACAGGTTGCCCAGAGAAGCTGTGGATGCCCCATCCCTGGAAGTGTCCAAGGGCAGGTTGGATGGGGCTTGGAGCAACCTGGGCTGGTGGAAAGGTGCATCTTCATGTGTATCCATGACTGGCATGGAAGGGGCTGGGATGCAGAAGCAAGGCTGGAAAGAGAAGTTCTACTCCTGCATAGACATGCACACAAGGAAGTTTAGGACAGCAGCTCCATCACAGGGAGGTGGAGTTAAGGATGGAAGGATGTGTGTGCTGGGGGCACAGGCAGGGAGCAAAGCAATTGCCCGGAGAAGGTGACTGCAGGAGGGGAGGGAGGGGAGAGGGCTACAATTGGTACCAGATGCCCTCAGAAGCTAATGACCTGACAAACGCTGTTGCTCATAAAACAAATTCTTTAAAAAGGAAGCAAATGGAAATATAAGCTAGTGAAAGAATTTGCAGCAGCTGCCCTGAAACCATTTCTCACTTCATAAACAGGTCTGCATTGAAAAAACAGCCCCTTTCTTCTTGTTCTCCTTTGTGGTCCCCTCCTGTGCCCACCGGCTCTTTCAGGCCTGTGGCCTGCAGGTTTCCACCGTGTCTTTGGCTGGGTGGACTGGTCCAGAGTCAACAGCACATTGTGTTCCCTCAGCCTCTGTGTCGGCACCGATTTCTTTTTTTTTATTATTTTTTTTATTATAATTTTTTTTATTTTATTTTTTTGTGTGTCATTTGTGGTATTTCTAGCTGTGCATCCTTGGCTGGAGAGGGCGAGTGAAGGCAAGAGGCAGAGGCTTGCCTCTGCTTGCCTCTGCCTCGCTGGGAGAAAGGCAGCCCGTGGAAATGGCCAGGAGCCCTGTGCAAAGCAGGGAGCAGAGGGAAGCGAGGTGTTCAGGTACAACTCCTTCCCTTCTCTCCTCACTTAATGCAGGAAGCTGCAGCACCTCTGCCCCTGACTGAGGAGGGCTGAGGTCAGTTTTTGCACCTATAGCACTTGGTAACAGATAAAGCCAGACTGATGGATGACCAGAGCATGTTGTGTCAACCCCATGTCTTGTGCCCATTCCATCCCAAGTATTTAACCTACTGGCTGCATTTCACTAATGGAGATCATAACCCTTTGCCCGTCTTTACTCTTCACTGTAGGATTATTTGTGATCTTAAATAATCGGTACCTAACAACTGGTCCTCAGTGGGAAGCTGCTGCAATGAGGAGGGTGTTTATTTCCAAGGAACTGGTGATGCCTTGCAAACTTTCCTGCAACCTCTTATAACTTGCAGTGGTGCCCAGGGGAGGTTATTCCTCCTTTTAGCTATGTCTCACCTTAGTGGCCACAGGTGAGTCTGTAGTGCTGGATCAGGTGCACGCTGGGATGGTCCTAATCCCAAAAAGTCTGGCATGCACAGGCTTGAACTGCTGTGTGGGCCTGTGGGAAGAGCAGAGGTGCTGGAGACCATCACAGCAGAGTGGAAAGGTGACAGAAGTGGGGGTAGGAGCCAATTGCATGTCCAGCTTCTCCCTTCCACCACAGGCTGTGGTTGCAGCTGTGTGGACGTGAAGAGGGACTGCGCATCATCCGAAGAATATCTCATGGATGGTTCCCTGATATCTGCAAGAGTTTCTTCTCCAGCTAAACTTTTCCGCACAGTTGGAGAATCCTCTGTGGATCCTCTGATGTCTAATACAGAGTCTGACATACCTGACACCCTTCTATCAGCAAAGGCTTTAGAAAGGCCCCTTCATCTTTTTCTTCCTGACCATCTGTTTCTGCAAGTTTTGTCTTATCCTGTACTAAGGCTGACTGAAATCGAGGTGTGGATTCAAAAACCATAGCAAATTGTACCTCCTGCCTCCCCTCTCTTTGTCACCTCCCTCTTTTTGTTCTCTTGCTCCACCTGCAGTGAGGCCCTGTGGTGCCAGGCTGTGTGCAGGCTTTGTGCCTTGCAGCCTGTACACCCTGGGGCAGAGGAGCTGGAGTAGCCTCACCAGGCAGCATGGATTTTGGAATGTTGTTGAGCTGTGCCTCCTTTCGTCCCCTTGAAAGGACACAGTGGTTGCTGGGAAGGTGTGAGATGGGGTTGGGGTGAGGTCCAGCAAAGGCAGAGCTGGAAAAACTTCCCTCCTGGCATCATTATAAGGAGACTTCAAGCCTGAAGAAGCTGGGGCTGAGGGATAGGTGGCATCTCTAGGCATCTGCGACCTGCTGAGTGTTCCATGCAGGGGCCACCTGGAGAGAGCCCTTCCTTGCTGAAGACCCACTGGTTGATTCCTTCTCTCTTCTCCTCCACAGCTGTGCCCACGGTGCCTGTGTGGGATCAGGAAGCTGCACACAGCCACTGCTTGCTCACACTGCTGCCCTGAACTGTTCCTCGGATGGCCCGGGGCACATGGTGTGCACTGTCACCTGCCAAAGGGGCTTTGTCCCCTGCGCCAGCAGTGGGAAGAGCCTGGGCCCCAGCCAGGTGAGTGGACCCTCAGGTGGGAGTGACCTCATGGCCTGTTGGACCAGGACCTAGTTAAGAAAGATTTAACCACCCTGCAGTGGTAGGAGTGACCCCAGAACACCTTGTTCCTCCAGCTCCGAACTCCTCGCTGCGTTTCCAATAAATCCCAGCCCAGTGTTGCTCCGGTGCTGGACCTCTGTGCTCATGGCTGGTGGTCCTGCTCTGGAGATCCATCTCCTTCCCTTGCTGCAGTCCTACCTCTCCCAACCCAGTGCTGGCTGCAGACCACAGCTCTGCCAGGCTGGAAGGCACTGCAGGGGATGTCCCAAGCCATGGAGATGCACTCCCGCAGAGGGAGAGGTAGGCATTCCTGTTCTCCGTTGGGCATCGCTGGGAGGGTTAAACATCCCTGAGATGTTTTCTCTCTTAAAGCTGAAGTTAATGGCTGAGGAAAAAATGAAGTCATTGCAGAGCAACTATATTTAGCGGCAGCTGAGAGCACGGAGAGCTTTTCTTCCTTTGTGTTGCGTTGCAGTAACGCTGCCCACGCCAGCGGGGCAGCACAGAGGTCACCATGAAAGAGTTTGTCCCACTTTCCAGAGGGCTGGGGGATGCCTTGTAAAAGCCACACGCCAGCACAGCTCTTAGCTGTTGACAGAGGAGACCTGGGACTGATCTGTCCTTGGGAGTTGAGCTGCCTTGGATCCGGGCAGTCACCTTGGCAGGGCTGTAGGCACAGCATGTCCTGTCCTTAGGATGTTCCAGGAGGGGGAAACTGGAGTCTCTGGGGCTGAGGTGGTTCCCATGCCAGACTGAGTGAGAGTGTGAACTCGTGTGGACAGATGGAGGTGAGCTGGGCCATCTTAGCAGGGAGGACCTTTCCTCTCCTTGGAGATGTGCAAGTGCTTGTGGCACCTGGCTGCGTGTTCCCCGTGCTGCAGCCATCGGCGTTGGCCAGAGGAGAGGTGGGCACTGGAAAGTGCAGCAGGGGAGCTGGGGATGCCCTGCTCAGCCCCTCGTCATTGGGAGGTTATTAATTATGTGGCCACACAGCTCTGTGGGCCGAGGCATGCCCAGGGAAAACAAAATGTTCCCATTCTCTGAAATGAAACCGCACAAAATAAATCTGCCTCGGGTGACAGTTTTCCTGTGTTTGGCAACGAGATGGGAAACTTCTGAACAGAGCTTCACCATGTGGCTGTCACAGCAGATGGCAGCTCGCAAATGCCTTGCCCTGAGCCCTCCAGTGATGTTACTGGTCTGGCTGTGACCTTGCTTCTCTCCAGGCATTTTGGGAAAATGGACACAGTTCTCTCCTGAGCATCCTCTTCACCTCTTTCAGTTACACTGTTATCCTGCTGCGCACTCCTGAGGACCAGACCCAGGTTTGGTGAGGTCCTTCAGAGCCACCACATCCAGGTTCAATAAAAACATGCTGAAAGGGAGGACAGGTCACACGTTTGACTGCATAAGCAGCGTGAAGGGACATCAGGAATAGTTAAAAGGCACCTCTTTGGTCCTTAGCCCCTGGCTGAGGGCTGGTGGATTGGGGTGAGAAGTTTGGGAGTGGAAATCAATAATGTGGTTGGAAGGGACCTTTAAAAGATCACCTAGTCCAAGCCCCTCCTCATGGCTAGGGACACCTTCCACTAGACCAGGTTGCTCACGGCAAACCATCATCACCCACCTGGTTTTGATGAAGTTGGTAGCACATTTTGACCATGTTTAGTGGTGGAACCACGGGGGTTTGTGTTCTCATGCAGTCCCCCATCTGTGTAAGGGCTTTTTAATTAGGATTGGTAAATGAGGTTTCATGATTTCAGTGAGGTCTGTGGGCTGAGGCATCAGGGAATTGGTGCATTTAGGGAAAAACAATCAACAGAAGAGCTGCCTCACAACAGCTGAAGTAAGACTTGATTTTTTAGGGGAGAAAATTGCAGTGCACAGAGCTGGGAATGACTTAGGAAGTTGGAGTGTATCTTAGAGGGATTTTCCTTTTTCCCTTACTGTGCTCTGGCACTGCTCAGACAGTGCACAGTGGCTGGAGGGTTACCCCAAGGGCCATTTGCTGCTTTCACACCCCCCATGCCACTCTGTGAACAGGTCAGGGCTTTGTGACTCAGTGCCCAGAGTGGTGAGAAAGGGCACAATAGCAGAGGAAAAATGTTAGAGAGCTCTCTTTGTCCTGAAGCCTGTGTTGCACCTCTCCTCTGTGGTGGCACACCACAGTAGACTAAAGTTCCCTTGCAGGAGTCTGATGGAGCTTTGCTTTTTCTGCAGCAGGAGGTGGTGCTGACGTGCAGCTCGGGACGGTGGGACAGATCTGTGACTTGTGACCCCATCGACTGCGGTGTCCCTGACCAGTCCCACGTGTACTATGCCGAGTTCTCCTGCCCCATGGGGACCACCTACCTGCAGAGATGCTCCTTCTCCTGCATCCACCCAGCCAAGCTTCAAGGTAAGGTCTGGAGTGCTGAGAGATTTAACCACCCTTTTCGATGCCACCTTTCCCTGCCTGTCCCAAGTTGTTCAAACAGTTGGAATTTTCCATTTATCCTGGCTTCTGCCAGCCAGGTGGGCTCTTGCTTCCCAAAATGGTGGGTGTCCATCCCCCTCCAGCAGAGACACCACAGTGTGAGGATAATTCCCTCCGACTCCCGTCCCCTGGCTGGCAGCCCTTATCCATCCACCCCAGGGTGTAGCGATGTCTTCTCCTGATAACTGGTGAGGCCCAGCAGCCTCAAGTATTACTGGGACGAGGGAGACAAGAAACATGCAGGCAGCCAGTGTGGACAGACAGAGAGGACTTCAGAGAGCCAGAAGTGGCTTGGTGCCTGGTGGCTGTGGGGAAGCCTGTGGTTTAGGGGGCCTGGGGCTGTACAGAGCCATAGAGACTGATGCCCACAGCTGCAGAGCACTCTGGGAGATGTTCACCACCCAGACACACCACGGCCTGGCTTTCATTCTGCCGACTCCATCGATAGCCGCAGGAATGTTTTTAAGCCAGGCTGGAGAAAGAGAGCTACTGTTCCTGTCTGTGCAAGGGCTGAGCTGGATGGGATTTCGGGGGTAATTGCCTTGACAGCTTCAAGCGTTGGGACTTTGTGAGTTTTCCACCAACGCCTTTGCTCTGAACAATCACATACAACAAATCATTTTAATGGGTGCCCTATTTTATGGAGACATTTATAGCTGAAATGTATGAGAATCATTTACTTTAAAAAAAAAAAAGAAAAGGAGCTAAGTCTAAGGAGCAAAAACTGCAGGGAATTAAGGTCTCATTTCATGACGGGGGATGGTGGCAGATCCCCAGAGTGAGCTGATCAAAGGGTAGCATCAGCATCTCAACAGCCCAAATTCTGCATGAACCAATGCCCGCTGCCTTGTGTGGGTCAGCTGAGGGCAGAGCTTTAATCTGATCTCTCACTCACAGCCGCCTCTTGTTCCCACTGAAGTCACTGGGAGGTTTTCCATGGGCTCCCTCGATGGGAAGGCGCCGCCTCTTTTTCCCACTGAAGTCACTGGGAGGTTTTCCATGGGCTCCCTCAGTGGAGCACCCTTCCAGCAGGATGGCTGGAGGTGCTTGGCCAAGGCTGCTGAGCCATGTGGGTAAACTCTTAGAGGTCCAAGTGATGTGGCTGAGCTGCCCAGGCAGGGACGTGCTCGATGCTTGTTCTCCCCCCAGGCTCACGTCCTTGTGGGCAGGCTCTCAAGGCTGATAAATGCTAAGAATAGGCAAGGAAAGGATGACACGGCTGTGTTGCACTGGGAGGTGGGAGATGACCCGTGGCAGCCCCGACCTGTCAGGAACAAGAGCACTGAGTGGAGATATGGACTTGCATCCGGTCCAAAAGCAGGGATCCTGTGAAAAGAAAGCGTTGTTTGAAGGGACCATGGAGCAGCCTGGCTGCACCAGGAACTTGCTGATCCAAACCTCTCAGTAGGAAGAGTCCCATTCACTCCAGTCCAGCTTTTTCTCTTGCTCAGCAGTTCCAAGCAAGCCATCCATCATCCACACCATGTGGGTGATGCAGTCCTGGACACCTCCTGCAGGCATCTGTGCATTTTTGGCCACCCATTTAGCTGGGTCTACCAGTGACAACAAAGAGTTGGTCTGTAACACTCAACCCAAAGCTTTACTAAGGGATGGTTTGAATTCCCAGTCACACCAGCGAAGCCTCCCATGCCTGTCCTCCTGGCACTTTCCATCTTCCCGACTCTCATGTTGCTGAGAGACGTGGTGGATGCCCCACCCATGGAAACATTCACAGTGAGGTTGGATGGGGCTCTGAGCTACCTGATCTAGTAGAAGGGGTCCCTGCCCATGGCAGGGGGTGTTGGACTAGATGGCCTTAAGAGATCCTTTCCAACCCAAACTGTTCCTTGACCTTGCACTGCACGTGTTACAGCTTGATAAGGGCAGGAAGGACAAACTGCAAAACGCACCTGGGGAGAATGAAGATGGACTGAACTAAGTATGATGGGTAGATGTCCTACAGAAAAGCCCCTAGCCCACTGATGGCAATCCTAAGGCAGAGAGGGGAAGTTTAAGGGAAAACTTAGAGGAGATTTGCAGAACCAAGATCCTTTCTTTGTCCCCTAGAAGTTGTCCCTTCCCTACTTCTGTCTGCATTCAAATATCTTCTGCCACAACCTGACCAAGCAGGCATGAAGTCTATGGCCTTCACGTTTGTTGCCTCCTTTGGTGTCAGTTTACTCTCCAACGAGGACTTTTGCTCTGAGCTCTCCTCAGCAGGACTTCATCCCTGGCTCAGCTGTGGCCTCAACACACTCCTTCTCTTTTGGGGTCAGGAACAAACGAGTGGCTGAGCTGCCTGGAGGACGGTCTCTGGTCGCTCCCCGAGGCCTACTGCAAGCTGGAGTGTGACGCGCCACCCGCCGTGGCCAACGCCAAGCTCCTGGTCCCTCGGTGCCTGCAGGGGAACCACGACGTGGGCTCCGTCTGCCGCTACAAGTGCAAGCCTGGGTACCATGTGGCTGAGAACTCGGTGGACAAGCCCAAGAGGTAAGTCTGTGGCAGGTCTTTTATCGCTCTTTCCTTCCTCCTCTTCTCCCAGTGAGAGCCAGGAGCAGAGGTGATGATGGTGCACTGGCAATCTTGAAGAGCTGAACTGATAGGTAGAAGGCAGAGCATCTTGCTCTGATCACACGGATTTCTTAAAATACAAGAGGCGTTCCTTGGCTGAGGTGAACCAGGTGGGGACAAGGGGTAATCTTATTGTGTATGTTAAGTGCTTTAGCCCAAAACATGCAGATTTTCCTGTGCACCTCCTGCATATTTGTCTCTTGGTGAAAATTAAGCACCAAGTGAAGTGTTTGCAGACTCCCAGGTAATTGGATGTAACAAGGTGTGGGAAGATTCCTGGAGCTTCTGTCTTTCCTAAAAGTGATGAAATACAGAACAAGGCACTGTAAGAATGAATGGCTGCCTTTCATCAGGGTTAACATTTTACTCCCTTGCGCCTCTTGGCTAAATTTAATCTCTAGTGCTGGCATTTCAATGGGAGAAGATTTTTCCCGATGCTTTGGGGAAAAATTCCTGGTGGTTCACTAACCCTGCTCAGCCAATATCGCGACGCTGGGGGGTAAAACAGCACTTTGTCTGCGATGCCTCCAGCCCAAGTCCTCACTGGGTTTGGTCACTAAAGATTCCCTAGCACTGGCTGGGTCCTCCCCCAGAGTCTTGATTCTAACCCAGATCAGGTAATTATGTGCTAATTGTTTAATGCCCCCTTCCAGTTTTAATTGGATGCAGACTTCATCTCTACTTTGCTCTGGGGTAGGGTTGTTGTGCAGTGGGAAGCAGTTGCCAAATTTCTTGCCTTGTAATGAAGGAAGTGGTTTCTGTAAACAGCTTTTCACAGTGTTAGGAGCATTTCTTGGGCCAAGGGGAGCTGAGAAAATGATGATTATGGCTGTGATCACATGGACTGCTTTGCAAACTGCAGAGCAGCTTGCATGCCTGTGGCACTTCAGGCACTGGACGTGCAAACAGATCAACTGAGCTTGCAAAGTTAGGCCACCTCCGTCCTACTGCAGCAACTACTGGTAAAAAGGATGTCCTCTGGGAGATCATGAGGCTCCTCTGGTGTGTGACTAAGTTCCCTATGGGTCTGAGCAGCTTGTGAGACAAGTCAAGGAAAATCATGTGAAGTGGTTTGCATTTTCACAACAATGCTTGTTGACATCGCATTTTCACGTTTGCTAACATTATTATTGCAGCTATTTCATCTGACATCTCTGATGGTGGAATACAAAGACCACATAAAGAGAAAATGCATTGCTTTCTTATCGTGCAGATTAACTCTCCTGTGTGAGTGGCCAGATCCCAAGCAAGAACCTTTTCTTGGAAGTGTAAATGTCATTGTACGGTCTCATCTGGAGCTCTGCATGTAGACTCAGCATGAGTACAAACCCCTTGGCATGGTGTAGCAGCTACTAGCCAGTAACTGGGCCAGTCAGCTGCTGGATTGCTGGAAATCCTTCTGGTGTCTCAGCCCTGGCAGGGAGAGGATGGAAGCTGCCAGAGTGAGAAGTTTTTTTCTTTGATCAGGACAGTTTTGTAAAACGTGAGGTGATGGAAAGCTCTGGAAATGACAGGCACTGGTGGGGTACAGATTCCCAGTGTGCAAGCAGGGGCTGAGCTGATGACTGGGACATCAGGTTTTAGGGTCTTCTGCTGTCTTTCTGGGTTCAGAAAACTGAGTTCATGGTGTGTTGACTCCCTGTTGTCCATCAACCCAGCAAGCACGAGCCGTGGTAAAGGATTTAGTGCCATACAGGTGTTGATGGGCACAGGGAAGCCAGGCTCTGTGTACAAAATCAGGCATAGTCTGTGACTGTTACTGAAGATGCCTCATGCCCACTACCTAGCTCAGCCTTGGAAATACAGTCAGACTGCCTTTAAATTATTCTTGCTCTAGCTTTGCTCCTCATGTGGCAGCACTACAGTGCCCACCTTATGCAGGCCTGAGTCATGGGTGGGATCCAGCTGTCTCTGTCCAAGCCAAGATGGTCTTGGACACAGATGTTCATCCAATTCCCTCACTTCTGTTTTGTTTGTTGAATTTTACTGCAGAAGCAGTAGGGATGCTTAGGAGGTGCTGAGAGCATAGTTGTAATTCACTTCCCATAGCATAAGTGGAAGAGAAAGGGGATGGAGAAATCCGTTGTGTCAGAGAAGATGCTTTTCTCTATTAACCTGGGTGAGGAAAGGCCCACGGGAAATCACTGCTTGTCAACAAGGGATCCTTGAGGAAACACTGATTGTGTAATTAAGATCCTGCCAGAGATTTGCTGCCTTTCTGCTGGCAGCATCATCTGACTGACAATGCTGACATGAAGGGTAAAGATCCTTTGACTAAAGGAAATCTGCTTTCAGCCTGGAGAAGCCACATAACAGGCAGGTTTCCAGCTGCCAAGCTGTTTCTCTTCTAATCCCAAAGTAAAGGTAACAAGGGGAACTTAACGTATGCATTTGTGCTTTATGATGGGAGCTCTCTGGATTCAGGCAGGATCTGTTCAAAGGCAGCACCAGCCCACCACATGGATCACACAAAGGCATGAACTGTCAAGGAGAAACATTTGGCATCACCCACAGCTGCAGCATTGAAAAGTGTTGACCTAAAAGTCGGGGGTCAGGTACTTTATGGAAAATGGACATCACTCCCTTAGTGCTCCTTGCTGTTTCTTCCACCATAAAATGAAGCAGATCTCTGACAGGAGTAAACAAAGCCAGGTTGGATGGGGTTTGGAGCAACCTGGCCCGGTGGAAGGTGTCCCTGTCCATAGCAGGGGGGTTGGAATAAGATGATCTTTAAGGTTCCTCCCAACACACTACAATTCCATGATTCTATGATAATATCTAGGAGCTCCTTAAGAGGAGCACTTTAATGCTGAGAGCATGGTCTCAATTTGGGGACCAAAAAGGTCACACCCTGCAGAGGGCTTATTTCACTTGCCCATTGTGGGATGATTCCCTGGAGAGAAGAGATTTGGGGATCACAAAGCTGCCTTTGTGAGGGGTTGAGCCTCTTCTTGAGGGAATGAGGCAAAGAAGAATCTGGCACCCAGGTCTTTTCAGGCAGCTTTTAAAGCCTCAGCCTGCATTTTGATCAGAGAGCAACAGAGCTCCTGAGGAGCTTTCATGGAGGTGTCAGCCTCTTTGTCTCCTCTCCCTTTTCAAAGACTACAGAGATCAGGAAAGAGGAAGAGGAGGTGGGAGAACACGGAGGAGAAAATGGGACTGGAAGGAGTTAGCAGAAAACAGAGTTCACAGCAGGCCAAGCAGGACAGCCTAACCCAAGAGCATCCTGGTTTAGCAGGGCACCAGGCACATCTGTGGGGTGCACAGAGGCACAGGGTGCTCACTGTCTCTGCCCACATCTGGCCCCTTCCAGTTCAAAGGCAAACACCTGCAGAGGTGTGGAAGCCGAACAGCCAGGTAAAGAAAACACAGGCTGCCATCTGGGCTCGTCTGTTACTTCCACCTCTAAGGTCTCTGATCAAGATTTACAGCCCAGGTTGCCCAGGCTGTTTGGAGCACAGCACTGGAGGGTTCTACAGCTTTCTTTCAATTTACAGACAAATCTCCATCCTTCCCCTCTATTCTTTTTGAAGATGTCAGTCTCCTGCCATGGGAGAGGAGGTTTTAGGCTCATTTATCACCATTCCTGTACAGAAAATCCAGTCCCCCCGAAGCTGGCTGCCTCAGGAGATGGCTGGATCCCTGCCAGGCTCCTGCATGCTCAGCTCCTGGAGCTGGGTGAGTGCTCGTGCCATCACCTCAGAGTCAGCCCTCCCTGGCCTCAACTGCCTCCCCTGCCTCCTTTCCCAGTAGGTGTCTGGTTGGAGGGTGAAGCATTGACTCCAATTTTCCTGGCTTCCTTGTTAATCCTCAAGAAATGCCACTAACCCAGATCAGAAGAAGCTGGGGGGAGCCCAGGAAATTTCAAGCTCCTATGAAGTTGTGTGTATTTACGTATGTACTTTTTTTTTAGAAGCCTCTGCCTTCCCTTCCTCTGTGAACTGCTCACTTCATAGGTGCGGCAGTGCCCACACGCCGCCGTCTGCCCCGGGGTCAGCCCAGGCCAAGCGTGTTTGAAGTCACTGCATGGATGCTGGGGGAAGGGTGAGCCTCCAGAGCGAGGTGGTCTGGGGGGGTGCAGGTCGTGGAGGGATGTGAAAACCCCACATCAAAACGAGTTGCCCCGGTGAGGATGATGGGGCTGCAAACCACGGCCTGCACCTGTGCAAACTGCAGCTCCCACTGCGTGTCCTCTCGTGCTCAGCCCTTCTGGCCGGGTCTTCCCAGGCAAAGAACCTCTGCCACGATTTGGAGAGCAAATCCCAAAAAAGGGAGGTGCAGTGGCTTCATGGGTTGTACCCCAGTGGCCAGTGGGGGAGTGAGAAATAGTGTGTGACTGGGATGCTCCTGGTTTGTAAGGAGTTTCCTTAGTGCCTGAGGCATCACTTGTTGCAGTGAGACTTCACCCCCGTTTGCTCCTGTCTCCATAACTCCCAGTGATTTACCACTTCCAAGTCTGATCACACGCTGAATACCAGGAATTTCAAGAAGGAGAAAATGCTACTTAAAGGCCTGGACATCCCACACAGATTAGTGCCTCTTGGCATGTGCTTTTGCTCATGTTTCAAGTTGGGCAGAGCAAATCATTCAGTCAGGTTTGGGAGGAGGTAAGGTCTGATGGGGATGTCTTTGAAAGGCAGTGACTATGATCCCCATGGAAAGGGTGAGCAAAGAAGAAAGTTAAATTAGGAATGGAGTAAAACCACAGATGCCTGCACTGGGATCCAGACTTACTCCTCCTCACCAGCCTTCCAAAATACTACATAGTTGCAGTTTCCTTAGTCAATTCAAGGCTACTGCTGTCAGGGTCATATTGCAGCACCCTCTCTTGCTCAGGTGCTCACACCATGGCCATCCTTGTTTCTGGTGGAAAGATTTGTGCAGAGCTCTGCCAGCAGACTTGCTGCATCCCATTCCCTACCTTACCTGCCTCTGTGTTACCTGCTGGAGCCCACATCCACCTCAGCAGGAACCCACCATCTCTTTATATGCTCTTTAGGAAAAACAGATCCCCAATTCCTGAAGGGAGAAGGGAGCTGCAAGTATTTTAAAATAGAAGAGTGCTTCAAAAAGCTCAAAAATTTCACATCCAGGAATTCCCAGCAGAAGTGTGATGGGGATGGGTACCAGCTGCTGCCCCAGGTCTGGCAGAGGGGTGGGTGCAGGTGCTGCTCCAGGCTGTGTGACCCTGTGCCGTGTGTTGGGAGGCACACGGGTGGCCCCACGCACTGTCTGCTGCCTCTCGAAACAAGGGGGAAATTAATTCTTCCCCCCGGGGGTTTCTCTAACCCAGTTACCCCCCTCCACATACCTGTGGCACACTATGAACTCCATAACACGGCACCTGGAGCCCAGCCTGCTGGCACCTAGAGTGAGAGAGAGCAGGGGCTGGCAGCTGGAGCAGGCTGTCTAGTAAAGAAGGTCAGGAGTGGGGGAAAAGCCTCATTAAGGATGGGGCAATGGGCTCTGGCTCAGGTAAAGCCCGTCAGGGTGCTGACATGTCCTCTGCTGGGAGAGCAGTCCCTGGCCCAGTGCCTCACCAGTTTTGATGCCTCTGTGTAAAAGATGTGGTGTCTCTATCGCTGCCAAGGGCAGGAGGCTCCACTTCTGGACTTTTTCTTTCTTTCTTTCTGTTCTTGGCAAGTGGTTTGTGCCTGAGCTGTTTTAGCAGCACGGGATGGTGTTGGTCTGCTGCGGCACGGCAGCCCCTCGGCGAGAGCGGGATTGACAGATCTGGCTGGAGTACAAAGAAGAGCCTTTGGAGTAGCTGGGCACAGGCCAGAGGATTTACTGGTGGAGGCAAACTCCATCCAGCAAAGTATGTAGCTACTGGCTGTGGGACAAAGCAGCCCAGGACCCACAGGGGCTGCCAGGCAGAGAGGAATGGTTCAGGGGCACCACGAGAAACAGTGAGCAATGGGGTGGTGAGTGCAAGGGAAAAGCATCCAGCACTCCTAGATCATTGCAATCTCCTCAATAAGGAGAAGAAAAGGTCCTTGTTAAGCGTGGACTGCCCCTTTGGAAGGACTTGCCTGTGGTGAGGTGTGGTTTGGTGAGGGAAAGCCCCACACATGGCAGATGTGATTGTTCGCCAGCAGCAAAGTCTTCAGGCTGCTCCTGACATCTGTGGATTCCTGGTACAGCCTGAGTGGAGTGTGTGTGTGGTGCTGCAGCTCAGTCTGGTGCCTGTGTTTCCCCAGGAAGTTCCTGAAGGTCCAGTGCCTGGAGAGTGGGCAGTGGGAAGAAGGTCGCTGCGTCCCCGTGGTGTGTGAGCCTCCACCTCCTGTCTTCGAGGGCATGTACAACTGCACCCAGGGCTTCGAGCTGGACAGCCAGTGTGTGCTCAACTGTGAGCCACAGGGACAGCAGGTGAGTATCTGGGGGGAGGCAGAGATCAGCCATATGTTGTGTTCCAGAGCACCTGGAAAACACAGGGCTCCCTGGGCCCTGTGGCTGCTTGACCATCCCCAAGGCCAAATGCCTTTGTAGCAGTGAGGAGTAGGTGCCCAGTAAGCCCAGAGCTTCTCTTGCTGGCTACCAGCCATGGCACAGGGTGCACCACTGCCTGGGGATGCTCTTCTGCTCCCTGGGGACCTATCTGGAAAGCAGTGGTCCTAAGAAAATCAGCTTGTCTTGGGTGATAAGGGTCAGAAAGTAGAGGGTCTCAAGTGGGTTTTGGGAGCTGCTGTGAGTGCTTTCAACTGGGATGATGGGCAACCTTGCTGCAACAGATGTGCTTAACAAGGGTCTTCCCTGAGGATGGAGGCTGCTTCCTGCCAGCTCTTCCACCCAGGTGGCTCATCCAATGCACAGAAAGAGTCTTGTCAAAAGAAATGCGGTTGAATACCTCTGGTGGGATCCAGCAGCAGCTGGAAAACAATTGGCTTTCTGGTCAATACACACAGGCTGGATCAGATGGCTGCAATCCATCTGCTCTGGGGAACTTCCCTCTGGACTGCCCTGGCAGGAGGGTTGTCCTTGCATGGTGCCCCCGTGGAGCTGGGCAGTGCCCAGGCAGGCTGAGCCCAGCCGCAGTGGGCAGTGACCCTGCCTGCTCTCCCTCTGCTTTCCAGGTTCCCATCGTCTGCACCAAGGAAGGCTCGTGGACAGAGGAGTTCAAACTGTGTGAGAGCTTGCGGGGCACCTGCCCACCACCCCCAGAGCAGAACTTCGTGGAGTACAAGTGTGAGCAGGGGCACGGAATAGGTGAGGGCATGTGAAAGCTAAACAGAAAACCAAGCTTTGTGTGGACTCAGTGCTCCCAGAGAGCTGAAGGTCACGGTGACTCTTCTTCTTTTACCAATCCCCATTAAATCTGTGACAAATATCCTGATTTCTCTTCAGTCCTCTTTCTAAATGGGGATTGCTTTAGCCTTGTTCATGCCCTGATTGTGCTTGTGGCCAAGACACAAAGTTAAAGCTGGCTCCAGCAAAAGCTCTCTCCTTTCAGAAGCAGAAGGGACTCACCTCTTGGGCAATCCCAGCCCTTTACGGTAATTTTCCTGATCTGTAGCCCTCCATCGCAGCTGAGGTCTCTCCGCTTGCTGCTGCTGCTGATGTTTGCAGGGTTAATGTGACAGGTCCTAGATAAAAGCCACAAAAGCTGCAGTGACAACTGTGTGTAACAGGGCACTTTCACCAGATGAGGGACCACATCATCCATTTCTCTCTGTGGGACTCGGTCGCTTTGTGCTTTCAGGAAACGCTGCAATGCTCAGTCGTTGCATCTCGTCTGGCGTCCCCTTGGACGGGGTGCTCGAGCAAAGCGTGCAGCGCTCTGAACCAAACACACCAGTCATCCCAGTCTGGTCAAACCAGGCTGAGGCGAGTCTGTCTAATGGCAGGGACTTGCTAAGGTTAAGCTTTGGGCAGATCTGATGTGAGGCTGGGGTTAAGGCTCAGATCTACCTGATGGTTTTTGCAGCTTCTTTTCGTCATGGGAAGGCAGTGGGAATTCTGCATGGCAGAAAAACAATGAAAGATGCTTCCTAATATGTCACCAAACATCCCATAGCATCCAGACCAGACTTGTTTTCATGCTGGGTCCCATGACCAGCCATCAAGGTGTGAATCTGTCTCTTAGGTTGTGTTCAGTTTTCCTCTCATCTGGGAAAATGGAACTGAGCACAACTCCTGCAGGCTCTTGGATAGTTCAGGATTTGGAGGAGGAATTGCTATTCCAGGTTGGAAGGAAAAGGGTCCCCTCTACATCTGTCAGTACCCTCAGTGAGGAGCCCAAAATTTGGGTTGGCCCCCTCCTGTAAAACATCAGTTCCTGGTTCCTGGTTCGGTCCTCAAGGCTCTCTCCTCCCACAGGTGCTGAGTGCACACCCTCCTGTGTCATCCCTCCCAGTGACCCCGTCATACTGCCCAAAAATGTCACTGCTGAGACAATGGATCACCGGCTGCAGCCCACCAGAGTCCAGGTAAGAGGGGAGATGGATTCCTCCAGCAGGGGGGTTGCTGGCAACATAGAGAGCAGCCCCCTCCTCTCTAACTGGTATTTTAAACCAAAAATATTTTTGCCTTGGGTGAAGAAGACAAGCAGTGGGTGCTACTGCATAGCCTCCTGCTCTCCCGTACCAAAGTTCAGCAGAAGTTACCGGCTCCCAAGCCAGCTTTCAAGGACTTGTAGGATACCACAATAAATGAATTTTAGTGCAAGAATCCCGCTGATTTTTCAGGACGTGCTGTGTGCCTAAACCTGCTAAGCTGCTGTTTATTGTCAGCCAGTGTGCTGGGGAGAGCAAAAGCCACTCCTGGCACGGTGTGAGGAGCCTGGGTCCCCAGGCAGAGATGCAGCCCCAGGCAGGCATCTCCCTGCCAAGGAGGAGGCAGGGCACTGTCAGCTGAAAGGTATCTGTGTCTGCCAGGACCCGCTGGCCAGCCGGTTGCCTCTGCTGCTGGAACGGGGGGAGCCTTTCCCTCCCCATCTCTTACTCACTTTGTAGGCAAAGCAGCTCAAATAGCTCAAATAGTTTGGATCCTCATGGCACGACTTTCCCAAAAAGCTGCTCTGCCGGGGTAATATTTCTTAAAATAAAAATGAGATGCATGAGGAAGGAGGTGGAACAAAGAAAAGCAAACAACCTTCACAGGAGCCAGTGCTCCCATCCAAATGCTCTCCCCTCCTCCTGGGAAGCCACAGGAGGCCCAGCATCGTGCCTGTGGATACTCCTGTACGTCGCCTTGACTCAGACCCATGGCGGGCGGCTGCCGGGGGGGTGAGGATGCCTGGGCTCTGTGGGATGGTTAAGCACGAGCCTTGGAAGGAGTCCGTGCCTTTGAGGGATCGGATGGCTTGGCCCATGGAGGCAGTGGCGTTCGGCTTCCCTTTCACCACCACTGTGGGCCTTCGTGCAAGGGAGGCATTTTGCAGAGAGGAGGGGGAAGGAGAGGAGATGTTATTTTAAGAAGCTGAGCTGCCCCGTGCCAGGAGCTCTCTCTCCCTGGACCGTCTTGTTTTTCTCTCTGCCCTGGCTTCTGTCTCTGCTCCCCACTTTGTCCCCCAAGTATCCAAGAGTTCGGTGTCCTGGGAGCTGCCATGCTCCTGAGGCGATGGAGAAGATGGGGAGAACAACACATGGAACTGCACAGGCCACTCAGGGAGGGCACAGTCCTGTTTTGCATTCAAGTCTGATTCATTGCATCCCACATCCGAGCAGGTTTGTCCCTCTGCCCTTATTTCCCAGCCTGGAATATGAGTATACAAATATGAGTATGCTAAAATGGCATCCAAGTTGCACAACAACCACATACAAACCACCCCAATGAGGTTGGGATGAACAGATCCTCTGGGCTGAGTGGGAATTGGTGAGCTCAGCCAGAATCCTCAGTCTCTACCCCATCAAGGTGTCTCTCTCTGGGTCTGCCTTCCCTGCACTGCCTGAACATGACCAGGACCTCATCCTGCTCCGGCCCCATCATGGTCCTGACCCAAGATGCAGCAGAAGGACCTGCAGCAGCTCTGTGTGGGCAGAGCTGCCCCATCCCTAGCTGCTGTGCCACCTGGGAATGCTGGAGCTGGTCTGCCTGCCACTGCACACGTCAAACAGGAGGCTGGGAGCAAACATACCTACCCCTCTGTGTGACTCCCGTGCTGCGAAGGGCATCCTAGGACACTTTCACAGGCCAGACGCTGTTTTATGGGGCCTCAGATTTCAAAGCCTGCCTGAGCTTTACAAGGAGGAAATTGCATGTGCGGTGGGGCTTTTCTTCCCCCTGTGTAATCATGAGTGTTCCCCACAAACCCCAGCTGAACGAGCGGGACGGCGCGTTCCAGGGCCATGAAACCGAGCCCTTCACATCTCATTCTTGTGTCCATCTGGCTGCAGCAGCTGAGTTTGGGCCTCGTAAATACCACAGAGAACCTCAGAGTGACCGTCAGTCTGGTGTATCTGCTCCAGGGCAGGTCTGCGGAGATGAGCCCTTCCAGGACGCAGTTTTTGGAGCCTGAGCAGGCATCAATGGGTCGATTGATGCAGGCACCGAGTGATGACTGGCTGAGCCTCCACCCTGTATGAGCAAGAACTGGTGAATCCAGCGTCACCCAGGGAGATGGTGGCAGACTCCAGCCTGTCATTGTTTTCGCAGCAGCAGCACCTGGACAAGTCAGACACCATGTGGTGGCAGTGCCAACTAAACCCACTTCTCTGGTGATCCCTACCATCTCCCTTGGTCCTTTTCCAGTTTTGTATCGCTACAGAAACATTAAGGTTGGAAAAGACCTCCAAGACCAAGTCAAACCAATGTACACATCTGTGTGTGTGTGTGGACTCTGCCTCAAGCAACATACCCTTGTTTGTGGGTGACCCAGCTGCAGGTGCCCGGGGTTTGTTGGGCCTCAAAGGGTGCAGGGAGAGTCCTGGTTGTGCTACTGCTGTTCTGCCCCACAGTGAGAAATACAGTGTCATAGAAGACCCTCTAGCCTCAGGAAGCGCTGGTGGCTGTTTCCCTCCCTCTGCCAACTCACCTAACAGCTCTCTTCTCCTTCCCTCCCAGAACATTGTGTGCACGGGCAGGCTGCGCTGGTACCCGGACCCCTCCGTCATTCACTGCATCCAGTCGTGTGAGGTAAGCCCTGCCTGTCCCCAGCACGAGCTGCCTGCCCCCCACAGGAGAGCTCCTGGCAATGAAGACTTGCTCCAGCACAAAGCCAGATGGCTTTGCCCTCGTGTTTTCTCTGGGCTGGGCCAGGGCTTGCTGGATGAGTGGAGATAAATGAGGAAGTGTCCTTGGGTACAGTCCCCTCACAGCCAAGGGCGATGCTGGGGAGCAAGAGCTGCACAATAACCCGTTTCCTTGCCTGCCTGCTTCTTGGCCAGCCCGGGAAGAATATTCTAGCAAAAGGATTTCACTGGCAAGGGGTATCCCCCAAAAGCCCGAGCTGACTCCAAGCTGGAATATTTCCTTAACCAGAACCGCAGTTCTAGAGTAACATGGGTCCAGAAAAGCCCTGTGTGACTCACACGTCCAACCCAAACAACCAGGATTTCCAGCCTTGTACATGCAAAACAAACTGCTCCTGAAGAATCTGCAGACAAAGAATTCCTTGCAGAAATTGGTTAGCCACTCATTTCGCTTTGAATAATGACCAGGCAGGAGAAAATCATAGGCAGCCTGGAGTCAGTTCGCAAAGGAAATTAAAAATAGGCAGTCTTTGTCAAGCACTAGTTGTTATTATGATTGAGGATAAAAGGAAAAAGTGGGGGAATTTTGGAATGTTGTATGCTGAAAATTTGGGATTTTTACCAAAAAGGAAAATGTAAATGGAGTTTGCACACCAAAAATAGCTTTGGGTTTTGCTGATTATATTTTTTTATGTGCTCGTTTTAATGCGAATGATTGCTTTTGCTCCCCAGTTCTGCCTAGCTCAGCTCTTTGTCGACTGAAGTGTGGGAGAAAGGGCGATGCTGCAGGGGGCACGTCCCCAGGAAGGAAACCTTATGGTTTACAGGAGGTGCAGCAGTTATTTCCCGAACTGGTGGCTGTGTTGTGCGTGTCTGCTGCAAGACACAGGCAGAAAGAGTAGGGGAATGAGGTGCTGTGTGCTAGAGAGGTGTTGGGTGATTGAGTACCAGAGGTTAGTGATGGATCCTCTGGCGTTTTGGGAGCTCCAGGTCTTCTAAACCACATCTTTTAGCTCAGATCTGGGGTAAGGTATTTGAAGGGGGATGGCTTATGTAGAAGAGCAGTCCAGATGGTTGTGGTGATCTTCTCTGTGGTGGTTCTGCTAGCAAGGGAGAACTTCGCCTTGTGCTCTCTGGGAGTTGGTCCTTCCAAAAAGAAGCAGATGGGGTGTGAGGTGCTCCTTCTTCCTTTCCTAATGGCTCAGGTGACAGAAAGCTGATGCTGCCTTATGGTCAGGTACACCAGACTGAGCCTGGTGTTTCCTCCTCTGTGGTTCCTGCACCTCACCTTGGGTCTGTGTCTTCAGTGAGAGATCCTGTAGGGAGTTATATAAAATGCCAGCTTATTTGTGTATGAGAGAGAAAGACACTGACTGCTTGGAGTCCCAACGTCTCACTGTAACAATTACTGTCTTCTCATCAGCCACCAAACATGACCTCTTTCTGTTCCTCTTTGCTGCTCACCCCCTATTCTTAGAAAGCAATTCTAGGCAGCACTCTTGGCATACAGGAGGTTAAGCAAAGCCAAAATCTGTCCCACCAGAAGATGGAGAGAGTCCATGTTCTCCATCACCCCTGTGGACTTTTTAATGCTTTTACTGCTTTCAATTAATGTTTCATCAGCAATGACCAAGCAGTCAGTACATGCTCTTCCATCTGAGGTCGCACCAAAGTCCTGTACAAAGCTTCCTTGTGCTGGAAACATCTCTTTTGATGGGACACAGGACTATATCTCTTGTTCCTGCAGTTGCATCAGTCTGGCAGCTCAGATATCCTGAGGTCAGCAAGTACACCCAGATCTTTCTCTACCTCCTTTGTTTCCAACTGATGAGTGCCAAGCTAACAGCAGATGTTTTGCCATCAGTACAAGAGGTTGCCCTTCAATTTTATATGAGCGAATGTCATCTTGTTTCTCTCTCTAGTCCTTCAGGTCATCTCACTATTTGTCAGATATCCTGATCCCCCTCTGTGGAACAGTACCTTCTTCCTTGTTAGCAGTTTCATCAGTGCAGGCCTATTTTTAAGGTCACAGTCATTCGCTGTAACATTAATGAAGATTCATCCTCAGATAGTTTCTTTCACCCTGATGCTCTCCTTTTTGATACAGTTTACACCCTCATTCCTGTTCTCCTCCTCCTCACCTCTCCCATACGAGTCTTTGATTATTCTTTTCATTGTGTTTCCTCCCAGAGTGCTGCAAATTGTTAAGGTTGAACCAATAACACAGATCTTTTTTTTTTAACTTGTGTTTTACAGTAGTCATTGTCTTGCCACAAAGAATGACTCTTACCAAAAGTGTCTTGTTCAAAGTGTTGCTCTGGGAGCTGCTGCTTGGCACTGGGAAGAATGGAGATGTTACCAGTCTCCCCATTTGAGCACAGAAAATGCCCTGAATGTTGTTTCCACCTTACCTGTGCTGGCTTCCATCCTCATTCCTGTTCCTCTCCTGCCCCCATCGTTGTGACCAAAAGCACTGCAGTTCTCAGGGGCCATTTCACTTGGAATCCAATCTGTTGGGGGATATGAAGGCATCAGACAGAGGGAGTAGAGTAGAGATGGAATATAACCTGTAATCTATCCTCACTGCATGGTGTCCCTCACCTCACATGGTTCAGCTTCAGTGGGGAAGTGTCCATGGGACATCTCAGTCCCAGGGTCCTCCTCCTTTCACAGGAATCCCTCAATGGAGACACCTCCTTTAAGAGCTCAGACTCTGCCATCCACTGGGCAGTGAAAATGCTATTCCAGTGGACTGTCCATGTCACCTCAGGTCTGAGTCACTCCTTGGAGATTCCGTTGTCTCCCCATTGACTGCCAAGTGTGTGTTGGATCAGGAAGCTTTCTCTCCTGGATGCCTCAGTGAGGGGAACAACCCTACATAAGAGAAATCCAGGCCACCTGGCAGCTTGTACCGTCTCTCCCTGGTGGAGTCACTTCAGGCCGGGGCATGGGAGCAGTAGCCAAGGCTCAACCTTCCCAGACCCGGCTGGAGCTCTGCCTCACATTGGAAAGTCCAGGTCACCATGCAATGACATTAGAAGGACTCTCGCTCATCTTTATCCTACGCTGGCAGTGGATCAGCCTGCCGGCTCATCCCTCTCACTCCTCTCCCCACCTCCCTTCTCTTTCCATTAATCTGGTCGTCCATCTGCCTCCCTGTCTCTCGCTGTGCCTTGCCAAGTTCCCCAGTGCAGGAGCAGCAAGGCACATATTTCGGCGAGGGAGGGAGGGAGGGATGCAAACCCTTCCAGGAGCCCGTCAGGAATACGAGTTAGTGCCGAGCGCGCTTCGCCTCTCAAGGGCCAGCGGAACATCTCGTCCCCTGCCATCAGTAGAAAAACAGATGGTGGCACCAAGGGAGGGGGCTTGGGGCTGTGGGAAGAGGGGAGTGGAGGAGGAGAGAAACCCCTCCTGCCTGCCATGGGTTGGGAGGAGGCGGTTTTGGTCCTGGTGCTGTGTTTGGCCACCGTGAGGGAGGTGCTTGCAGTATCTGGGGCACATTCTCCCAGGCTATTCCAAGGTGACCACCTCTGATAAATCCTCTTCCTGCACCCTAAAGCAATTGAGGCTGTTGACTTCAGAGGAGAAGTCAACAATCAGTCAGTACAGCAAAGCAGGTTGCTCCCTTGGACTGTTCCTGCCATGGTGTGAAATAGTCTGCCTGGCCATGACTGTTATTCAGCACCTTCTACTCTGTGCAACGCCCTATCCCTGCACTGCTCTACCTCCCACCACAGGGACTCCTGTGGTTCACATTGTGGCTGTGGTTTAGTGCAAAAGTTCACTTACTTTATCATCATCGTGTCTGCCCAGCGTTATTCACAGGACGGGGTAACCACTGCTGTCCTGCTCAGATGCACTCAGAGGAAGGCAGGCTGCTCTTGTAGTGATCAGAGAAATGTTGGGCAGGGTTTTTGGGCAGCCAACACATCATGCAATGTGCTAACCTCATCCCCACCCCCAGCTTCGTGTCATCATTACATGCAGGTAGCAAAGGGTTAATTGGAAGGGACCTTGGCTTGAGGCCTCTGCCTCACACCCTGAGTGAAGATGGGCCATGCCAGAATGCTGTTGGGAGCATGAGCTGCTGGGAATTTCTCAGGTCTTCCCTGCAGGAGGACAAGGTCTCGCTGCCCTTGTGCGTGCTGCTGGTCATGTTATCACGGTTGTAAAACACTAATCTGTTCCTTCTTTTGTGGTTTTCCTGAGGTATTACAATGGAAATTATGAAATAGGGATTGAAGTGCATTTGTGGTTGCAAGTTGTTCCCGAGTCTCTCAATGCAACAGGTAGTCAAGGACCTCAGTGGATCCTGGCTCTTCCCACTGGCATGTTCAAAACCCTCGCTTGGCACATTTGTAGCTTGTGTCCAGCATTTGTCAGTCAGAATTAACCCCTTCGAAGGCATATGAAATAGGGACAGTGGGAAGCCTCACTTAAAATCTCACTGCTGTGCTTTGATGTGATGGGAGACAGGGTGCAATTCACTCCCTGGGCAAAGCACTGCAGCCAGTCCAGCTGCCTCTGCTCCTTGGCATCAGTGGGGCTGGACACCCTTGGTTGTCCCTCATCCCAGACTTGGGGGTCTCTGATTCTGTACCATGGCAAGGTCAGCACAAGAATCTGGTCAGAAACTTGATGCTCTGCTCTGGGAAAGATTCTGTTTTGTACTTCTGGGGATTAAGGCAATAAGGACCACAGGCACTCCAGGTTCTCCAAGGGGACTCTCTGGAGCAACCAGGTAATTGCATCATGGCCAGAATTTAGTCACCCTCTCATGATTCTCACATCATCACTCTCTCACCTCTTGGACCAGGCAGTGTTGTATCTTGCACCAGGCTTAGTGCAGGTGGTGGGGGAGCACAAGGAGCATGGACTGCAGGTAGTGGTCACTTCTGGGTCAGATCTGGCCCCTGACTGGTGAAAACAAAGCCCTTCATGCTG